TAATTAGTTTTTTAAAATTATATATTTATAATATTAATATATTAATAATAGTTTCCTTAAGTATTTTAAAAGTTTTTAAAGCTTTTCCTTTATAATTAATAAATTAATTTTTTTTTAACTTTATTATTAAGTTTTTCTTTATAAGGTTTATAAATAATATAATAATTTTACTATAGTTTTTAATAAACCTTTAGTAATAGTTTATTAAACTAAGGAAATTTTATATTTTTTGTATTATTTTTAAAATTTTTTATTTTTTAATAATTATTATTTTAATAAAATTTATTTTAATTTATTTTAGTAAAATAATATATTTTAAAAAATTAATTTTTTAAATATAAAATTAATATTTTTTTAATTTAATTAATTAATTTACTATTTATAAGGTTTTTAAAACTTAGTATATATATTATTTATACTTTTTTAAAGTATTAAAGTAAATTAATATATTATTTAAGTATATAATAATATACTTATTAATATATTTCTTAAGGACTTTATTAATTATTTATTAAAATATAGCTAGTATATTAGTAAATCTAAAGGGTATAATTAAATATTTAAATAATTTATAATATATTTTAAATATTATTTTTTAAATTTTTTTAATTTATATAAAATTATAAACTTTTTTTAAGTTAAAAACTATAAACTATTTTATAATTATTAACTTATTTTTTATTTTAAAAATTAATAATAATAATATTTAATTTTTAATAGTAATTTTATTAAGTTATTAATAATTAATAATTGATTATAACTTTGTATTTTTCTTTAATATTAATATTATAAAGTATTTTATTAATAAATTAAAAATTTAAATATATATATTTTTTTAATTATTTATTTAATTATTCCTTTATAATATTTTTATTATTAACGTTATAAATTTTATAAATTTTAGGTTATTTTTTATTTACTAACTTAAAAAAGTAATTTTATTATAAATATAATAGTAACTTAGTATTTAATATTACTTTATATAATTTCTTATATTTTTTATATTAGTAAAGTATTTTAATAAAAGTATTTTTAAGTTTTCTTAATTCCTTTTTTTTTTATATTTTACTTAATATTTTATTAAGTACTATTAGTTTATTTTTAAATTATATTATAATTTTATTAATATAAATATATTTTACTTTTTTATATTATTTATTATATTATAATAATATTAATAATATTTTTTTAAACTTAATTTTATATTTAATAAGTCTTTCTTTTATTTTTACTTTTATAATATTTATAATTTATAATATTTATTTCTTTTATTAAATAAAAATTTATAATTCTTAGATTTATTATAATATAATTAAGTTATGATTTAATCTATAGTTAATATATATAGTAATAGTATTATCTTTAAGTTATATATTAACCCTAAGCTTTTTTATTTTAATTATTTTAATTATATTAATTTATATTTTTTTTAAAGTATAATTTTTTTTTATAATATTATATATAAATATATTAGTATAAATAATATTAAGGTTATTTATTCTTTATTATTATATTTATTATTATTAAAGTTTTTAATATTATTAATATAGTATTTATAAAAGTATATAATATTTTTTTTATATTTTTTTATAAATATATTTTTTTTATATATTTTAAAGTTAAATTTATTATAGTATAATTATTATTAAAGTTACTTATAATCTTTTTTTATAATTTAATACTTTTTATAATTATTATTACAGTATTATAAAAAATTAAGCTTAAGATATTTTAGCTTTTTTTTAATTATATTATTCTTTAATTTTATAATTAAGGTATTAACTATATTTTAGATTAAGGTATTTATTTAAGTTTACTTTAATATAATTTTTATTATATAAATTATTATATTAAATTTAAAAGTATTAATTATAAACTTTAGTTTTTTTATATTTAATATATAATATTTTATTATATTACTTTATTATTAATTCTTTATAATTCTTTATAAATAAAGTATTATATATAAATTATATTTTTTTTTATTTAAGGAATTAATTCTTAATTATAATAAATTAATAAAAGTTAGTATATTCTACTAGTTTATTATTACTTAGTATTTATTATTAAGTAATTTTATATTATTTAAGTATTTATTAAAATTTACTTAAGTTATATATTTTTTTTTTTTTTTTAAATTATAATTAAAAAGTTTTTATTATAAAGGTAATTTAATTCCTAAGGTTTTTATAATTTATAATTTATATATAATTTTAAAATATTTAAGTTAGTATATTTTTAATTTTTTTTTTATTTATAAATAAAAATCTTTTTTTTTTATTTTTATAAATAAAAATATTTTTTTTATTTTTATAAATAAAAATATTTTTTTTATTTTTATAAATAAAATATTATAAGCTTTAGTTTATATTTTATTAACTTTATATTCTTCTTAAGTTATAAAAGTAAGTTAATTATTATTAACTTTATTTTTTATTTATTATTTAACTTTTTTAAAAATTATAATATTAATTATAATTTATTTTAATTACTTTTTCTTAAATACATTAAGGTATTACTTTATTATTTCCTTTTTTTCCTTATATATAAAATATTAATTATTATAATAGCTAATTTAATTAAGTAAGTTATAAAGTATAATTTTAATAATATTAATTTAAATTTTATATAAACTTTTATTTTTATAAGTAAATTTTTTAAAAATATTAAGTTTTTTATATTTACTTTAATAATATTTTTTTATAATTTATTTTACTATAGTAATTATATTTATTTATAAACTTATAAATATTAATAATATTTAAATCTATTAATCTTAGTTTTTTATTATTAAATAAAGTTATATTATACTTTTTTTCTTTAATATATATATTAAAAATAATATTATATTTTATTATTTTCTTTTTTTCTTATTTATTTCTTTTTATATTATTTATATTATTAATTATTTATATAGTAAAATTTTTTTAAATAATTCTTTGAAGGTATTAAGTAATTTATTTTTTTAAAGTTTATTTTTTATATTATTTTTTAACTTTTAGTAATATAATATTTTCTTAACTTTATTTTTAAAGTTAATTTTTATATAAAAGTAAATAAATTTAATAATATATTTAATATATATACTTTATTATTAAAAATTAAGTAATATATTTTTAACTTTTTATTTTTTATTAATTTAGTTAAATAATACCTTAAATTAATTTTTAAATTTTTTATAATTATTTAAAAAAATATTAATAAATATTTTTTAATAACTTAATTATTTTATTTAAAATTTTAAAAATATAATTTAAATTAATTCTTAAGTTTTTTAATAAGTTAATTTTTAATAATATTAATTTATTATTTTTATAAAATTATAATAATTAAAAAATATTTAAAGTAAAACTTTATATTTATAAAAAACTTTTTAATTTTTTATAAATTTTTATTAAATATAATTAGTAAAGGTAATTTAATAATTTCCCTTAGTTTTTTTTTATAAAAACTTTTTTATTAACTTTAAGTTATAAGTAATTATTTTTATTATTATTAAGTATTTTAAAGCTAAATAATTAAATTTTAAATTATTTAAGTTTATTAATTAACAATATCTTAATTTATAATTTATTAATATATTATTTAAGTAATAATAATTTCTAAAGCTTAAGCTTTTTTTATTATATTATTAAAATTTATATTTTATAAATTTTATAAAAGTAAAATTAAGTTATTATTAAGTACTAAAGTAAGTATAATTTTAATTTTTTTTTTTAAATAAATTTATAATATTAATATTATTATTTTAATATTTACTTTAAGCTTTACTTTTTTAATTTATTTTTATATTTATAATTTAAAAATTAATTATTTAATATTTTCATAATAATATTACTTATAATCTAAGGTAATTATTTAAATAAAAGTTATAAATATATAATAAACTAAGGTTTTATAAAGGTAATATAAAAGGGATTTCTAAAGAATAAACCTTATATTAAGTTTATATTAGTAAATAGGCTGGGCTAAATTAATAAGTAATTAAAAAAATAAAAAGGTTTATTTATATAATTAATAAATAATATTTTTATAAATATAATTAAGTATTATTTTATATTTATAATTAATTATTTAAACTATTTTAAATAAGTATATAAATAAAACTTATATATTTAATTATATATTCTAAATTATTATAAATTATTAATAATTTTTATTAATCTAGGGTTAGTATAGATAAAAATTACTGTTAATTTATATTAACCTAATATTAATTAATTATATTAGTCCTATATTTATCTAGGGATACTTACCCTATTAGCCTATTGCAATAACTATAAGAGTTAGGTTATAATAATTATATATATAATATAAAAGATTATATAATAAAATAATATACCTTAATTACTTTTTCATAATTAAAAAAAAATTATAATAGTTATAATTTAGTTATAATAAATATATAATAAAATAATTAAATAAATAACTAAATTTATAATTAATAAAATTATAAATTTATAATTAAAAACTTTAAAAAAAAACTAAAGCTAAGTAAAATAAAATATAAACTAAATTAACTAAAGAATATTAAAAACCTTAAGCTAAGTAAAAATATTATGAAAATTATTAAAAAAGCTAATAAAGTAGTTTATTAAAGGTATATATAAAGGTTTTTTATAATTAATTCCTTTTAAATAATTAATCTTTTATATTTAGGAGAAATAATAATTTATATAAAAATAAATTTTAATTTTACTTTTAAATATATATATTATATAATTATATATAAAATTATATTTATTATTTAAAAAATTAATAAAATCATAATAATTAAATTAAAAAAAAACCTTATACTTTAGCCTTTGGATTATATTATTATGTAACTTAATTTAACAAAGGCCTTTCTAATTGAATTTAAAAGCTCTACAAGCCCCCTTTATACTAATTCCTAATTAAACTCTAGCCAATACCAATACCAATTCTGAACTTGGTTATATAAATCATATACCAATTCCTCAGCCACCCAAGTTGGGATAACTAAGCCTGAACTCTCTTGGTTATGGTCTTTGGTTTTGGTAGGCATTCGTATAGATATTCTCGACGGACTAAAAATCCAGTTCCTGGCGATATCATCATGAATGCTACTTGTAAAACTATTGACATGCATGTCAAAACTTAGAGGCTGATCGATATCAAAGCCTTGGAACAAAAGGTCAGCATCCAATGAGCCGCTTCTCATCTCTATGACATCAGTGAGGTATCCTTGTGCGACTGTTGCAAATGAAGCAATGTCGCGAATTGTGGCGGCTAATTCAAGAAGGCATCTATCTCCAGGGCTCTCTGCCCTGATAATCAACAGCGATGACCACAATACGTTTAAGATGGCCAACGCTCGTCTTAATACGTGCACCTGCGGACTGGATAAAATCCTATTACCGCGGCGCATGACTCTCATGCCTTCCACAATAGCTCGCATGGTAACGACCACATGGGGGAGATCGTTGTTATCAAGTTGCCGTGACAATATACGCCCACTTAGTAGTAAGTGTAACGCTTCGGCATATACATCCAGCAGGGCAAAGGATGAGCTATCCATGAATGAGACTCTGAGGATGGCGGGCAGCATCTTTCCCAGCACAAAAGCCAGTATGCTCTGATGTTTCATGCCTCTCCGAAGCATACGGACATCACGGGTAAGATTTCCATTTACTAGGGCGTGTTTGAAATTGTTGAACATGAGAAAAAACAATTCGTGAGTTGCCCTAGAATCCCCTTCTTCTATGCGAATGCCATACGAGAGCATACCTGCAATCTGAAGTTGGACGTCTTGAATAGGCGGAGAGTATACCGCGCTGACCTGGAGAAAGAAGTTGTCAATCGTGCAAATATCTGACCCGTGCGCCTTGATCGATGATACAATGTGCTGGACGAAGGTAACAAACCGCTGATGTTGTGAAGTGTCTCCGTACACCAAGCTCAAGTCATTGCGCATCTGTTTCATCACATGCTTGAGTGTTTTGGAGTATTCTAGATCAAGAGCGCGCCTAAGTCTGGAATCTGCGCGGCGAATGTTTTTGCGCATCGATGCAACGGCAAACTCAAATAAGAGTAGATTTGATTTGTAACTCGGTTGAGCTCTCGAGTCGGCCATCTTGGGAGGAGCGAAGCCTTCAGCATAGCAATGGTGTTGTATGCCGAAGAGACCTTCGCACTTCAAATATTTGAGGGGCGTGACCAATGATAGAGTCCATACCTCAAATATGTTGAAGTCAACGCCAGAAAAATCATCGAATCTGTGCTCCAAGAGCGATGATATGAACATCGTAAAATGCTGCCTATGTGGGGGATCCATTGTGTGTAATTGGTCCGGGAACAGGCACCATTTGCCAAGCTTGAACAGGTCGGATATTGTCAAAAAGCCGCCATTAATGAAGCCTATGCCCATTCTTGCCGATAATACGATAATCTGTCTGATACACCAAGCCATATCAGCTGTAGCTGCCCTCGTGAGGCTGATCGTTTTTGTCGGAAGTGATAAGACGCATTTAGCCATTGAGAAATAAGTGCAAGAAATGTCTTGCTCTAGAATCAAGAAAGCATCGTCTCCTTGGGCAGAGTCTAAAATTTGGCTTTCACTCTGCAGACTCTGCTGGCTCTCTTTGAACTTTTCGACAGCGGATAAAAATACGTCTAAAATAGTCAAGGCTACACGCAGTATAGACCAGTCTAATTCGGGGGACGGCGCCGTGAAGTATTTGAAAAGCTGCTGTAGATGAAGAGTGTTTAAGCAGTATGTTGCCGCCTCTAAATCTGGAGCGTATCTTAACACATCCAATGATGCTGTCAATGATAGATGAAGAACGTCCATCACAGCTGCCTTGTTCTTGGATATTGCGGTCTCAACAGCATTCTGAGTGACAAAAGTACTCTTATCCTTGGATAAGGTTAGATACTGTTGATTGATATCATTTTCAATATCACCGAATTGCACCAACATCTGCTGGAAGAAAGTATTTCTCCATTTGTTGAAAGGGCTAAATGACGCCTTTGTCTCACCAGAAGAAACGATAAATCGCGAAAGTTGAGCCCATGATCTAATGTTGATTAAGCATGCCTCTTTATGAGAACTAGCAGGAGTAATAAGTCCTTCAATGAGAACCACTGAAGGCCTGGTATCGGGTGGTGCCGCCCAGAACAGAGTAGCAATGAGATCATGGTGATTTCTCAAAGCAGCCAAGTCCCGCTCATGAATGCTATGTTCCTTGAGATATAATCGACTATGATTTGGTATTGTTCGAGTTATCAGATTGCGTATGTCCTTCTCCGAGCCAAATTTTTCAAGCTTTTTAATGCTTATGGCAAGCAGTTTCAGAAATATATGAAAGCAGTAGTCGTCCTCCTCAACCTCAAGAACTGGTCCATCGGCTAGATTCTCCAGGAATTGCGGTGACCTATAGACTTCTTCATTCCTGAGATGCGCAAGCCTCCTTGAACCAAAGAAGTCAAAGATAACACCAATTACCGACGTGCTACGAAGCCAACCCCATTGTTGAACAAGATAGTGGCATCGCGAAATAAGAGCCCGGCAGTAGCTATTGAAGCTCGCGGCCTGCTGATCATTCTCCTGGTACAGCTGGAAGACGCGACGGATAAGCTTCTGAGGCATTGACCACCCCTCGTTTCCCGTCTTGTGTTGTTTCTCAGCCACTACTTTCCCAGTGTCGTCAAACTCGAAGAGCGGGAGGAGGGTGAATATTATCTCCCAGACATTTTCAAATTCACGAGCGTCTGTGCTGGAGAGAACTTCTGGCTTTAAGACAACCGTTTCTAATACATTCCAGAAAGAAACTTGTCGTGAGCCTACATGCTCAAAGGATTTGATCAGCATAGTCCATGAATGCATTTCGACGGCACTTTCCCCTAACATGCGGCCACTGCAATGGAGTTGACTGAATTCTTTATAAATTTGCTTGATTTGATTGATACCGCAGCGGAGAAGGACCGAAATCATCAACTTTGCCGATAATAACATCGTCTGTTCTGCAGTAGGAAGCTCATCCATGAGCTGTGCTGTGGTTTGACAATGCTTTACCATCATGGAGGACATCAGAAATACTCTATCCAGTATTTTCAGAAGAAGTTGACGATTCGCGGCATGGTTAAATGAAGCCTGCCCGAGCCTGATGATGACTCGATTGATGAAGCCCTGGAAAACTTCTTGTAGTCGCGGTATAAGAGGGGGAATTTGAGATTCCAATGTCACTGGATCGAGGATATCTCTTACGTATTCCAAAGCAGAATGGACAGCATCAATAACGTGAAGGCCGTCGCAGAGGCCCCCCTCCTGACCATCTTCCAGTTGCTCAGCGATTAAGTCAAATAGAATTCCAATCTCAGATGATACTTTAGGATTCCAGGAGCTCCAAATAAAAATTTGATTATTGAGTCTGACCGAGATTTGTCTGTCAAGGTTGGATAATCCCATACGTGAGTCTTCGATCAGGAAGGCCTTTAGAGTGCCACTGCCAAGTATTGTTGATTTGTGAAGCTGGACTTCAGGAATGAGAGGAAATATCTCGAAATGATGGGTGTATCGGGTACCATAGGGGCCTAAGCCATAGAGCTTGCTCTTTTCAGAAGGAACATCATTGATTAAAATAGGAGCATCCACTGGAAGGGGATCTGTAGCATGGGTATATTGAGGTACTGTGACATCGATTCGACGAGGCCTGGTGCTCTTTCGAGGCCTTATTCGCCTTGCCTTTTGCTCTTGTTCCTGGAATATACGCGGCGGCGTGTATTCTGTGATGCTACATTCCGCGGCACCATATGTAGGGGCCAAGGTGTTATTAGCTTCGGCCAGCTGCCAGGCAAATTTTTTTTGCGTTTGCTTGTTGAAAATACGATCTAGAGCCCTCTTCCTTGATCGAAACGAAACGATGCCTCCCCCAGTTCTCTCATCGGCTTCTAGCTGAGCTTCCCTTGAGGCAGGCGAAGGCCGATTGGCGTTGTCGCCTAATGTAGATGTGGAGGTTTTGTTGGTGTTGTTATGCGATTGGTTTCGTCGGTAGCCAATAGTGCCACTATCACCGTGATACTTGACAAATTTGCGGGAAATGCTTCTGAATGTACCGAATGTGATCCTGGAAGCTGACTTCCCCTTTGAAAGGTGTTGATCTGTATTTGTCCTCTGACGTCGTCTTCGGTTGGACTTGCTTGCTGCCGATACTGAAGGCCGCTGTGCAATCAACCCTGACTTCCACTTCTCCATAACCGACATAGCATCTATCTGGTCTTGCCTAGTAGCCAATCTGATTGTTTTTTGCTGTACGCTACTACGTCCTAGATTCAAGGTTTGTTTAGCAGAGCGTGCAGCAATGCGTATGAATCTAGGAGCATCCGGCTCTATCGTATCAAGGATACCAAGGAGAGGGGATGTGAAAGATGGTCTTGGCTTGCTGGTTGAGTTCCCATAGTTATTGTCCGACGACAAAGAGTCATCTGAGAAATGATCGACGGTTAATGATCTAGTTAATTCGTCCTTTTCAGAATGAAAAAATCCGGTAATAGTCTGCTGTCTTGGACGAGACCGCGTAAATTGACTCCGGGATCCGCTTGACACCTTGGCTCGTTTCCTGTTTCTTTTTGAATTCCTGGGAAGTTGGAGCTGACGCTTGCTGCCAATGACCATGGGGGCTATACGGTCTTCTTCCAGAGCCGAGTGCTCGTCAGCTTCATCATTCCCGTGCTCTAGAGGATGCGAGAATGATATCCTAGATTGATGCTCAGATAAATCATCTGCCGTATACCGGACTGGACTCTTTTCACCAAGTTCCATCGGAACATCGTTCAAAGCAGTGGAATCAGGAGCTACTTTCTTGGTAATAGCTATTCCCCGCTGTTGTTGATTGGGAAACCGATGCTGTAGTTTCTTCTTGACAACGTGGTGAGAACTCTTTTCACTCGTTTGCTGATCTAGTCGAAGCCAGGAAGCAGGAAGGACACCCCGAATACGACGCCTGAATTCAGTGACCGTTTGGTGTACATCACCCCCTGCTTCACTCGTAGTCTCTGACGTTTCTCGTTTCCTTTGTTGGCCATATCCATTTTGACTGCCGAGCTCCTGAGACGATACTGAGATCACAGAAACAGGATCTGGAAGTTCAGGGGACGATGCTGGAGAATAGTTTTGCTGATCAATGACTTCATCAGGCGCAATCTGCTGAGCATTTGAATCTGGCCATTTTATAGAAGGGCTGGGAGACCTTGATATTCGACCAACGACAAAGTTGGGTTCCGGCGAATCACTATAGATAATGCCTCGCCTCTTGATTCTCTGGGCCAAGGGTTGGATTTGAGACGCTTGTCGCATCCTCTTGTTCGTCCTCCCGGTCTGCAAATTCCGTTTCAGGAGCTGACTCAAGTCTGGTAAGTCTTGGTCGAAGGCATCATCATCGACTGCATTCGTCGGCGAGCTAGCTGAACTGTTGCTCGCAGCTTGGCCATTACGTTGGGGAGCCTTCGACCAAAGTGGATTAATATCTGGCGTATGACGCTCTCGCAGGGAGGCAGTGAACCTGCTAGCCTCTGTGTTGTTGGATGCTGGCGGCAGATCATCATTTTGGCTATCCAGGTTAAAATCTCCATCCTGTGATGCTCTTGGTAGCAGGCCCTTTTCCGTACCAACTACCATCTTCACAGGTATAAGTCCGTGCTGCCTAAAATCATTGCTATGACGCGCAAGGTCAATAGCGTATGGATGTTCTTGGATCAGTGTTCGAGGCCGCAAGGATCGTCTGTGTCCGGCCGTGGCCACTGCCCCTTCCCAGTTCGTAGCATAGTGGTGAACATCATCACCTCCAGATATCGCCGGTCTTTTATGGGAAGTCGAAAGCGTTGAGGCCAAGTCGTTATTCCCCGAGGAAGTTGCATCTGCGACTCCAGAGCTACTGATGTCCTCGGTGTTCTGGCTGCTGCGAGAAGCTACCTCGTTAAATGTAGGTACGAGAAAGGGAGAGCTTGTCTGTGGATTGTTCAGAGGGAATGGTTGTACCTGGTTCTGAGAGATATCTTCGGCTAAGGTAAACGGGATGGTGGTAGTCTCAGGCTCAGGCTTTTCTCGTAAACTTGGCCTCGGCGATAATGGAAGGGCCTCCGGAATGGGGGTGTCGGCTTGGCCATCATCGTCAGATTCAGGGACATCCCAAATACTTTCTGCGTATTGGGCTTTGGAAACGGAGGTTATGACTGGCGTCTGCGTGGGTGATAGAGGTAATTCATCATCGAGAAAGTAATCACCTTCATCTTCGGAATCTGGTATCACTCCAAGCTCCCTCCAGTTAGACATTGTCCGTGTCCATGATGCTGGTTGAAGTTAACGCTGGGTCGATAACGCGTAAAGAGCTACACGCTTTACGCGCCCCGCCAAGCAGTCCATCCAGGTACGTACAGTATCAGAATAATACGCACACTGAGTTTGCCTCGTTTAGGCCCCACCCTACAAACGACTTCATGATACCAGTTCGTCGACGCTGAACACTGCGGTAACTAGGTGCAATATACGAGCACGAGTATATATTCCATACGACTCTTCATTTAACCTTCTTTCCAATGAGTATTTCATTTCCCTCCGATATACTTGATGGTATTCGAATACATTCCTAAGGCCAGATACGAAATACTGGTAGCCAGACCTACCTGCTCTCTAATTGCTTGATGGTGAGGTTTGTAAGGAACCCTTCGCCAGCTACTCAATTGGATGGGGATGGGGACTGCTGGAATCTTGCCAATGGTTCCGCTGACCGTCAGGCTATCGACACGCATTCCACGCGCCATACATACGTCTGCCATCCACTTAAACAACCGCAGTGGAGGAAATGGCGTCCAACCCGCTGAGGACGCAATAGATAACAATGACGAGACCGAACATCAACCCGGTACAGAAACATCTGGCGGGCGCTGGAGAGGCAATGCAACGGGCTCTATGAGAGCACGCCAGCAACGGAGGAGACAGGTTTCTGCTTTGCCACCGGTTGAACTACATCAGAGCTTTCTTCAAAACAACGTATCCCATTATTCACCCCAAGAACCACCACGACTGCCCATTGCGCTGGCAGAAGATGCAAAACACCCAAAAGTATCCCCGCTTTCGATTGACCAAGGGCCGTCCATAAAACAAAAGTCGGAAGCCCTGGAGACATATTTTGAGGCGGCGTTGAAACACCTCTTGGCTCGGGGCCATGAACTCGCTGTGGATTTGGAAAAATCTCGTTTAGACAAGGATGATCGAAGATGGGAATCTCCAGAGATCATAGCACGAGCAATCCGGGTCGGGGATATGACCGTTGACTCGGCTATGCATTTGATCAATGCTATATACCCTACTCGAGTATCCGAATATTCTTACAAAGTGCGACCCTTTTGGTGGTCTCACGTCCCTAAAATTCTTAACAGCGGCCTGCCGGGCCATCGCGACCAGCTCTCATCCCTTGTGGCTTCTTTGGACGATCAGCTCGATTTTGCTGAACAATATGAATATCCCCTGCCCCATGTTATCGCCGACCTCCCCGTTGACACGTTCATCGCTCTGCGAAAATTGGTAGCTCGCGAGTTGCTCGCATCACCACCGCCAACGTTCGATTATAAAACCAGCAAGAGACCAATTACAATTCTTGCTGTATCAGGATATGGAGGCAAGTCGATTTCGGAAGCGGTCGGGAAGTACTTCGCACACTACAGCGGCGCAGACTTGATCCAATTGGATGCGTATGATCTCTCGGAGCTTGTGGGTGATTATTTGGGTCAAAATTGGGCCTTTTCGCGGGGCCCTCTTTCAATGTTGGGATTCAGGGCTGCCGAATTGAATGGCAAAACCGCAGGTGGTCGGGATGAGAGGCCACTTGAGAGCCAGGATGACGACTCCGATGCGGACGTTGGAATTACCACGAGTAATTCAAGCTCATCGACTGTGGTAGAAGAGCTCCAGAAGTTACGCCAGGGAGAGTACGAGAGTTTCAGCAAATGGGACAACCTGAAGATTGATAAAATATTGGACCAAATTATTCGATCGGCTAGCCTTGGATCTCCTCAGTCTCGCACTCGACCAGTATTGATCCATCTTCAGGACATTATTGAATTGGGCATGACGATTGAGGGCTCTCTGCTGATTAGCAGATTGCGAGCTCTCGCGGACATTGCCTGGCAGCAAGGGTTGCAAATCGCTATCCTCGGGTCCTCATCATGTGAACAACACTCAGAAGAATACTTGAATACGATCAGGGAATTTGCTGCTAACGACTTTGTCATCACCCGCCACGTCCAACCAGATTATGTTGAGCGGTATAATACGCCGAAGGGAAATGTTCGAACTCAAATACCATTCCACCTGCAAAAGGCTGATTACCTTGTTGAGAATGTTAACAACATTACACGCATGCTGAGAGCTCTGGATCCTGAATCATCGTCGGAAGTTTCTGGCCTGTCACTTGAATCCATTTTAACCTATCTGCGTTCTTCAAACCCGAAATTTTCGATGTTACAGACTTCGATTCTTCCCGCACCCGAAATTTATCACTTAGCATGTGCCTTCAAATCACAAGGTAAGGCTGGTGCTAATAGCTCGCAATTAGGCTTTCAAGAGCGCTTTAGCCTGGGCCGTCTCCAGCAGTGGCGTGGCGATAATCTCCTCAACGAAGATCGTGCTGAAGGAGATGTTTTCAATGGAACTCCTTCGGCTAGTGATGACTCTACTACTATGGAAGGCCGTGCTACCTTGAAGTTGAATGAATACGAGAAGCGAATAGCTTCTGGTCAGATAAATCGCGAGAATCTTCGAACAACGTTTTCAGACGTTCATGCTCCGCCCGAAACTATATCTGCTTTGAAGCTCCTTACCTCACTTTCTCTCGTGAGGCCGGATGCATTCTCATATGGTGTATTAGCGCAAGATAAGATTTCAGGTTGTCTCCTATATGGACCACCTGGAACAGGTAAAACTATGTTGGCAAAGGCAGTTGCAAAGGAAAGCGGCGCAAACATGCTTGAAGTTAGCGGCGCATCGATCAATGACAAATGGGTTGGGGAAAGTGAAAAGCTCATTCGCGCAGTCTTTACCTTGGCCAAAAAATTGACTCCGTGTGTCGTTTTTATCGACGAGGCAGATTCACTGTTGGCTAGTCGAAGCATGTTCACCAACCGGGCATCTCACCGCGAACATATCAACCAGTTCCTCAAGGAGTGGGACGGGATGGAAGAGACAAGCGCCTTCATAATGGTTGCCACCAATCGGCCTTTTGATTTGGATGACGCCGTCTTGCGGCGATTACCGCGCAAAATTCTCGTTGATCTTCCTCTTGAGGATGACCGGCTGGCGATTTTAAAATTACAACTCAAAGGCGAGATACTGGATGATTCTGTATCATTGGATGAGTATGCAAAACGAACTCCTTACTACTCAGGATCGGACCTTAAAAACATGTGTGTCGCTGCAGCAATGGCTGCGGTGGAAGAAGAAAATGAAGCTGCGGCCAAACACAAAGGCCCTCACCCCTTTCAATACCCTGAAAGACGAATTCTTCAGAAGATTCATTTCGAAAAGGCCTTGAAAAGTATTCCTGCAAGTATCAACGAAGATATGGTATCTCTAAAACTAATCCGCAAATTCGATGAGGAATACGGAAATAGAAAAAGAAGTGCCACTAAGTCAAATATGGGCTTTGGGTTTGCGGAGGATAAGCGCCATATCAAACGATGATTGACGACCTATCTAATCGCAACGAGTTCAGCATCTGTTACGGAGCAATAACAAAAACATGAATCTTGTAAATGCTTGGGGGCCTTCAGAGACGTTGTCAGATCTCAGTTGAATCTAAATTTTAGAATTGATGTACATACATTATTATGTCCAGCCAGACTTGATCTGTCAAGTATACGGCAGGACGGTAAAAGTACCTGGGATCAGAACCACCAACTCTCATCACCCAAAGCACTTGTGTGTAGATATTGGTGTCTGGCATCCTCAAGCATACTTAGACCTGGGCTATTGGTCCTAGGTCGCAAGGTAAAGGAAGTGGAGTTCGTTATGTGCTCTCCGTCGATATTTGGACACCCTCCTCGCCTAGTGCTCTAGAATAAGTGTCCTGTGCTCGCCGTAGTGCATCCAGCGTCGGCTGCATTATCTTGCCAACGACATCGCGACCACCGCCGACCATATCTGGCTTCCATCGAATCTTTTTCCCTGTGCGTTCGAAGTGACTACGAATCTCCTGCTTCCGCTTTTGAATGGCACTCTCTCTTTCAACCTCAGCCTCGTCAGCCACAGCTTGAATACGTGCCATGGATCTCGCCAGTGATTCAGCCAAGTATTGTACCTCTATGGCACGGTCAGGGTCGCCGGAAAGAAAGCCGTCCCAGAACTGATGAAGAAACTCAATCGTTGTAGCATGCGTAAGAGCACACTTGTCGGAGATCGTAGTAGGTATTCCCATTGGAGATGTATCATCCGAGGCGCGTCCATATTTTTGAGAACGCTGTTGTTGTATGCCAGCCATGACATCCTTCTCTGCTTCTTTAATTGCGTCACGAGTAGCGTTGAGTCCAGATTTTGACTCGTTGTCGCTGTCACTATCTATGTCGAGGTCTATGTTGATTTCCAGTCCAGTGTCCCCAATCTTATCAGGCCCGGCCGTGTGCAAATTTCTCATTTTGGCGAGAACATCTTCAGGCCGTTGACTGCCAAGAACATCTCCTCCTCTTTGGGCAGGGGAATCCTTCGACGAAAAAAAGTTATTCCTCTCTTTGATACTCAGCATAATGCGCTGTTCTTCGCCATCTCCTTTTAGGTCGCGTAGAGTTAGCTCTCGAGATGTATTATAGAGTCCCTGAGCATCATATGCCGTGTTATCCGAGGGAGGAACATTTGCCATAATCTTTTCGCTCAGACTGTTAAGTGTCCTAACGATAGGGATATTTGCTCGAGGCCGCATTTCGACATCCTTGGCGTTGCCGCCTTTGAATCCTCCTTGGTTCTCTTCATTGCCCTCAATGTCAATTATATGAGGGACTGGCTGGGTCGTAACCTTGGAATGAGCATCTTGCATATTGCCATCGAGATTGTACTTGTCAAAGATAGCATCGGCAGGGTCATTATCAGTGACGCGCTCCCCCTTAAGCTTCTTAGCAAGTTTGCTGAGGAAGAATCGCGACCAGAATTCCGCTTCCGTTAGTCTCGGTACATTTTCATTGTATATTCGTTTAAGTAATGGATGTTGGGCAAATATCATTTGAACTTGCTCCACGCTGATGTTCAGTTTCAACTCCCCATCCACGGTTCGAGGTTTAACAGTCGAAAGGACGTTGTATGCGCCTTTTTTTTGGTTTGTTTCGATGGCATGGGCTCTTAATAAGTTTATCCTCATGGACCAGAACTGGGAGTTGAAAGCAGCAGTAGTCATTGAATCTGGCTTAGTCGACATGGCGCTCACGTAGGTTTCGTGCAAACTCCTGTCTTTCTTCATGAGAGATTGCTGTAGCTCAATATTCATCTTCAATTGACTATCATCAAACCATTTTGGAGGTACCGCTTGTGCGTTCGCACCACCCGAGGATACCAGCGTGGCAGAGCTCCCTGTTCCCTCTCCATTTGCAACAGGTGTTGAGGTAGCAGTCACCAGCTTAGATACGTTTGCATCGCCATTCCGTAGATCGGCCAACAATCGCGAGAGCAGATCTTTGACAGATTGAGCTTCTGCCTTAGCTTCTGGAGTATTGAAATGAAACAGGTAGGTGATGGGGTCGCTTGCGTTTTCGGACTTCTCGAATATCTTAAGCATCACTTTGGGAGAGCTGTCGGGAGTTTGCTGAAGATCTGACAGAGAGTTAGCGGCAGTTCTCATCACCAGAAGACATGCCACAGAGGATGATTACTGGTGATGTTGGTAACTGGCAGCGAAACAGTTGCTGGGCCTCCCGAAATTGGCGTCCATGTTATGGCTTTATGATCAGTCGTGAACGATAGGATGCCCTCTTTTTTCTTGAAGAGAGTGTGGCCCGTTGGGCTCGCCATGGTGCTTCTGTTTCGCGGGTAGGATAATTGATGCAATCTGGGGAGTTGACGCAAGAATTAACGCCTCCGACTTTGGCATTAATTTATATGGGTTGCATGAGCATCTCAAGGTAAATTCGCTGCGTCACAGAATGGCACAAGCTGATATGCGGCAGTAGGGATGCTGTGGACCCTATCAATACCTCTAGTGCACGATAGGGACAGTGCGATGTGGAAATCTGCGAAGGTGAATTAGCAGACACCGTTCTACTAAAGAAGCAATTAGACATCACAGCAATATAACACACACACACACACACACACACACATATATATATATATACACGCCTTATATTATGAATATATGCATATATATTTCAATACGCATTTTTCACAATTTGCAATAATATTTGCTAAATCAGTGTTTTTTTTTAACTAAAAAAATAACATTATATTGTTGCTTATATTTATTTAAAAGTACCAGTATATATAGATTTAAAGTGCGTATAAGTTTACAAACATATATCCCTTCTTCTTTTAAGAAAAAGAAAAAAAGTGTATTACTTTTATAAATACATAGCTTATAAAAGAATGTTCCTAAGCATTTGTATTTCTGCGCTATTCCCTCTTTAACCCGGCGCCTCCCTTCTGCTTACCAACCTGTGGGGCAACCGATTTACTTGCGTAGGTTCCCATACCTCTCCTAATCCACACAAGACAATCCACCACGACTCATTAATTACGATTGCTGTACACCATAGATTGTTCCCACGGGCCCTGTTAACCAGCTTGTTTCTTCACGAACCGGATTGTTCTGGAGTATTGTTTGTTTTCGCTCGGTTAAGAACGGCGTTATTGGCCTCGAAGCCTGAACTTACTCAACATCCAAGTGTTTTCTCCTATGCGCCCGCGCTTAGCAGTCTTGCTACACTCAATCTTTGAAGAGAGCCCACTGCTACCTATCTTCATCACAGCACCGGCATAAATTAAAGTCTTGGCAGGTTTTGCCTTAACGAACTGTCTCTTCCGATCAAACTCTTACGCGACATCTAACCTGTCTACCGTCTCATCTTCATCTGACTGGCAAGCACCGCCGCGCCCTCTGATTGAACCAGCCGATCCCATATCGCACATCAAACGGTACCAACCAAAACGTCAAGACTCGGAATATTTGAAGTTGGCAAAAATCGCTCTTCCGTCAAAAGCAAGGCTGTCGACGCACATCTTCCGTGGGGTTCTGCAGTTGAGGGTTGCCGCAGTCCCTCGACCCTGCTGCGGAAGCCTAATATCTCCCTTTTTGTACGATATGTGGTAGGTGCGATTTTCCCCGGCAATATGCATTCATCAGACGAACATACCAGGGACAAACTCTCCTGTAGTTAGATCTATGGTTAACCAAATATCTTTGGTGCCCCGCTTTATGATATCACACTGCTTTACCCTTTCCTATCTTTCTTTCTTTTTTTTTGTCAGTTGCGATTGCCCTCAACCTGGATATTTACCTATTACCCCACATTCATATTCCCTATTATCATTACTCTGTTAAATGTTTACCTGCTAATAAGTTGTACGTTTAACGCTGAAGCAGAACAGTGAATGATAATGTCTCCTGATGCCGTGTCGTTGTTATTTTCCGATCGGCCTATTCGGCCCCTGCCGAAGCGTCGACTTCGAGAGAGACTATCACCGGAGGTTGCCAACTCGATCAAATATCCCTCCTATATCCATGACCACGTTCCTCTTTTCTATTATCCAACCTATACCACCAGAGATGATAATGGAACATCGACCTTGACAACAATTGGCTCCGCTGCTCAACACCACCGTGATGATTCCAAGCGGAACTCTACGTTACGACGGAATGGAGCTGCAATGACGACCGTAATCAACGACGAATTGCGAGGATCCCTCGTAATGGGATCTTCATCAAAAATCCAGGGAATGGTCATACAGTCTTCAGCGACATTGGACCCGCTTCGCCAATCGATTGAATTACCACTACTCGCTTCCACTGCTTCCTCAGTGGATGGCTATGAGTCTTTCGAAAACACCAACAACAAGAAGAAGCGGAAAATTCCCACCACTGGAGACTCATTAGCGAATACTAGTCTTTCTTTGACCAGCGAAGCCAACACATTGTCGAACTCTATACGACCTCGATCACCAGTGAACGAAGTGCTCAGTAATAGAGCACAGGTACCCCCAGCAGGCCTGTCGGGAAATAGTTCCCATGTGACAGGCAGTCAAGGGTTGTCTGGTTCTGGCAGAGGGAGACTTGGACGGTCAAGAAATGGACGTAGCCCCTTACGAGCTTTGTCAGACGGAAGCAACGCCTGGTCGAACCGTTCAAAAGCTGGTTCGTCCCAGTGGGCGTCGTCTGGTATGTCTCTTTGGTTCCTCTATGAGCACACATAGGCGCGGCAAGCTGTGCGTAGGCTGACAAGTTCGCTTATAGGTCAAACTGGGAGTGGTATTATATCTAACGCGATTGCAACTGCTGAGAAGGTACCTCTACAGGGACAGGAGAATGGAAGTCTCTTGCAGCCGCGCATGACCACATATAAGGAAATGCCTGCTTCAACGCAATTTACATTCACTTGTGAATCGCAAACACCTGGGGCTATACAGTGGCCTGGTGAGTGTCTCTGGCCTCGGTCAACGTTGTCGTATTCTAATCATCTTCAAGGTCGTTCTGTTGGCCACGGCGCCCCAGCCCAGTCGTTACAACACTTACCAACTGTCGCTCCTCAAAACCCCAGCCTGCACCAGAGTGGTTCATCCAAGCAAGCCAATAAGCTTCCCGGTGGCTCTGCTAGGAAAACCCGCAGTCGCTTAGAGAGGGAGCTTGTCATGGCTGCGCGTACTCGACGGCAGATTGCGACAGAGAACTATTATAACAGCCTGCCGGACTCGACGGAGATCTGGATTTGCGAGTTTTGCGAGTATGAGCGTATTTTTGGCGAACCTCCCCGTACTCTTATTCGAGATTACGAAATCAAGGATCGTCGACATCGGCAGGAAGAAGCAGATCGAAAGCGTTTACTAGAAAAGGCCAAAGCAAGAAGCAGGAAGGGGAAGAAAACCAGCAAAGTAGCTACGAAAGGCAGTCATACAGTCGAGCATATCTCGGATCAATCCCACGCAGCAGCTCGACCTGCTGATATTTCCCCCGCCCCGACTAATGAAAGAGGTCGCTCGACCCATTCCGACGACGGATATGAAGACGACTACGAAGATGATTATTCAGATGCACCACCTAGACACATGGCGAACGTTGCGAGTGCCCATGCAGATCCTCTACCTCCCCCTCGAGCTAAAACGTAGGTTTTGGTCAGCTACACGAGCGGCAGGATTTGGCTAAGCAGTTATTCTTGAGCAATGATTATCATTTATGTGCATCGTACACACGTCATGATGACCCCCTATAACATGCGATCAATAAAATCGGACGTGGTGTCTAGGCTATATGTTTTTTTGTCCTCTGGGGGCTCTATATCGGGTTTTGCATGTGATATTACTTAACCCCTCCGACTAGGCCCATAATCAAGCATTCGTCAGACCCCAGGCGGCGATGATTACTCAGAAACGTCCTTCTAACCAGCTACTCGTCACTCTGCCCTTCCATAGCTGGAAACTGTGTTCTATCATGGAAGCTAATCTGGAAGCTGCCTATGCTTCAGTTCGTTTGACACCACGAAACTGAAAGGCCAACTTGGGTAGCTGACATTTGTACGGTATAATCTCTGTAAGGCAGCGAAACTGCCTGGCTGTATACTTTTGGTAATTCCGTGGGTCACATCTCATGGCTCTTGTGAAAGAAGAGGAGACAATTGCTATCCTCTTAGTGGGGGATGCAAAGTAATCTCCCATTCCTAAATCTCATCTAAAAGAACACTGATGGGCATGTGTGTCATCGGGTCTAGCTCGGTTAGTACTGTGGGGATGGATTTTCAAGCATTGGAGGGGCATTTCATCCCACCTCTTTGAACCGCTACACATTGAAACCGGATGCAGTCCCTCAAGAGCCTCTTCCACAGTGAGCTGGCAGGGATATTCCTGCCCTAATAGGCTCAGATATGGCCTCTGCTAAAATTGTTCAGTTGCAATCCCTAAAACCCGATCTCCACGAGCGTGCCTGGGTATCGATACCGCATCCGAATCTTCCTCTGATTGCAACCGCGCACGGAAAGAATGTCACCGTCTTCTCCCTATCCACACTTTCTTTACACAGCGTTTTAGCCGATGGCCACTCACGATCCGTCCGGAGCGTGTCATGGAAACCCAACCTGCCGCCGCATAATCTATGCCTCATCACAGGCAGTTTCGATTCTTCCGCTGGCGTGTGGCGCTGGGCCAACGGGGGTGACGAGGGCGATGATGATTCCGCCGATGGCCTTGGCAGGGATATGACGAGAGGGCCGGGGAATGAAGATTCTGCCAAGACTGGCGACTGGGACTACAACCTTGTGCTTGAGGGCCATGACTCGGAAGTCAAAGGCTGCGCCTTTTCTCCATCCGGCGCTTACCTCGCAACTTGCTCGCGTGACAAATCTATTTGGATTTGGGAAGACATAGCCAGTGCTGAGTCTGAGGACGACTGGGAAACCATTGCGGTTCTCAACGAGCACGAGGGAGATGTAAAAGCCGTAGCCTGGTGTCCCGACGTACCTGGGCGCAACAATGTTGGGCAGCGCTATTACAGCGTCGACGTACTCGCCAGCGCCAGTTATGATAACACAGCACGCATCTGGCGCGAAGACTCTGATGGGGAGTGGGTCTGCGTCGCTGTCCTACAGGGACACCAGGGAACGGTTTGGGGAGTAGAATGGGAGCCACGGCCAAAGAATGATGAATTTCCTAGACTCATGACATTTTCGGCCGACGGAACGATCCGTGTGTGGACGCTTGAGCAAGGGAAAGACGGTACCGATGCAGATGGCTCAACAATACCTCAAGATCGGCCAGGTGGCATACCAAGCACGATGAGAAGGTCTTTTAGAGAACAGTGGAATTGCACAGCCGTGCTGCCCAAAGTACACGACAAGGACGTATATTCGGTTACATGGAGCGCTGATTCTGGCCTTGTAGCCAGCACCGGGAGTGATGGCATCGTCGCTTTGTACAAAGAAGACAGCGATGTTGTCTCAAACTTCCAGTCTGCCCCCGAAGATAATGCTCCTAATGACTCTGCACGCTCAAATCACGATGGTTCTACTGTCAGTGGTCCACAGTGGCAGCTTCTGACCACGGTTCCCAACGCCCATGGCCCCTACGAGATTAACCATATCACCTGGTGTAAGAGACACGATGCGGGTTCGACGAGAAGAGGTGAGGAGGAAATGCTAGTCACCACAGGCGATGACGGAGTAGTCCAATCATGGCAAGTGGATGTGAAATCTCCATAGCCGACAGAGGTGCTCACTATAGAATTTGGCATAATAAAAAACATAGAGAGTACTCTGGGACATGTGACATTGACTGCGTGATACATGTAACCTTAGTTGTATCATGCGTCTTGTTAAGGTGTCTTGATTTGTTTCCATATGACTACCTAAATAATTTAAAAAGAAAATAACTCGATAATATTTATGACACGCAGGATGAGATCCTTTGACTTGGTACCCAATTTGAAATAATTGTTCTATCGATATAATGGCGATGGTATACAACGATAGCCGCTCTCCATGTCCCACTTTAAGTAGCGTACTCTGCAAGTAGTACCTGTCGCCTAAAGTGGAGGGACCTTGCCTTAGTACCTGTAGCTACCAACAGCTCTTTTGACCGTGCTGCACTGGCCCTGCTGCCTCCTCGTCTTCTTGTACTTGTACATGATATGTCGCATCTTGGATACCGACATCGTATCCCTGTCAGATATTCACAAGCTTCAGCGCCCGCATTTCCTTCTAGCGGACCGCGCTCCGTCTATGTTTCTTCCCTCGACCCATATCTATTGGCGCGACGCTTCGAGGCACCATCGACGTCATCTTCCCCAGCGATAGAGCCCACGAGTGGCCTCACTCCCCAAACATCTCCTTGAAGCAACTCGTGCTTGACGACGATGGCGACCCCTACGCTCAACTTCATTACGTTCAACCAAGACCATAGCTGCCTTGCTGTTGGTAAATACTTTGGCCCAGCTACCGGGCGATGGCCCCTCTTCTGACTACGCTGGCATCGCGGACTAACGGATTGTTGCAAGGCACATCCAAAGGCTTTGGCATCTATCACACCGATCCGTTCTCGCGCATATTCAGCAGTGATGACGGTAATATCGCCATCATCGAAATGTTGTTCTCAACCTCCCTAGTCGCCCTCATTCTTTCTCCTCGCCATCTCATAATTCAAAACACCAAGGTAGGTGCCTAGCAGCAAACTAACCAGATTGACGTGTTGCTCATTGCTGCAACTGCAGAGGGCTTCGGTCATATGCGAACTGACCTTTCCATCCGCCGTCCTGGCCGTACGACTAAATCGCAAGCGGCTGGCCGTTGTCCTCGAGGAGGAGATATACCTCTACGACATCAGCAACATGAGCCTTCTCTACACCATCCCCACCTCCCCGAACCCATCGGCCATATGCGCGCTATCAGCATCCTCCGAGAATTGCTTCATCGCATATCCGCTTCCCAAACCGAGAGAAGAATCCGATAGCAGGCGGCCCCCTCATGCTCCACCACAGTCGGCATATGTTGCTCCTACCTCGGGCGAGGTTCTCATGTTTGACACCTTGACGCTCAAAGCTGTTAACGTTATAGAAGCTCATCGCTCGCCGCTATCTTGTATCAGTCTCAATAGCGAAGGCACGATGTTGGCAACTGCAAGCGAGACGGGTACCATCATTCGTATATTTTCAGTGCCTCGAGGCCAGAAGCTCTATCAGTTCCGGCGGGGGACATATCCTTCAACCATATACAGCATGTCCTTCAACCTCAGCTCAACGCTCCTTTGCGTCTCCTCCGCGTCAGATACAGTACACATATTTCGACTTAGTCCTCCGCCTGGGCATACCACCCCGGCAGGTGCCCCAATTGAATCCCTAGGTTCTCCGAGACAAGATCGGTGGTCCCGAGCGAGAAGCCACGACGGTGCAGATTCACCCAGTAATAGCACAACTGAATCCCCCAAAAGTGAAACTGCAGAGCTTGGAAGCAATGGTCCTGCTCTAGATGCCAGTGCTGCACCCGCTGGTCGCAGTCAAAGTGGTTCATTTAGCAGTATGCTACGACGTTCATCTCAAATCATGGGCCGCGGAGTTGTCGGCGTTGTAGGCTCCTACCTTCCGCAATCAGTTACTGAGATGTGGGAGCCACTCAGAGACTTTGCCTATATCAAAATCCCCAAGACCACTGGACTCGGAGCTGGGGCTCGAGTACCCGGTGGGCAAAGCTCTGGCCCACTTCGCAGTGTCGTTGCAATGAGTAGTAGCAGCCCCCAAGTTATGGTGGTAACTAGTGACGGCGGCTTTTACGTCTATAACATTGATATGGAGAATGGTGGAGAGGGTTATCTCGTAAAACAGTTTTCGTAAGAACCCTTTCCTCCACTTCTGAGTTTTAACTCGATCCCACCTTTAGGCTGTGCTAACATGACTTTTCACGATGCAGAGTTCTAGAGGGGGATAGCAAAAGTGATCCTTCGGCCTAAACATAACTAGGTAGGTATGTGTAACACGATTCGGTTGATTGTTGATTGTCGAAATATTTTTCTAAGACGGGGGGTATAGGCAGTAACTTTCAGGGGTAATAGGGCAGGTCTTTGTGATTATACTTTTCTTTTCTTTTTTTCAAATTAATGATGTACTCAAGCAATGCCGCGGATTCAGGTGCCAACTTCTGGGGTTTTCATTTAATCGTATTGTTTGGCTAGCTGGGTGAGATCTGGGATGTTACTGGCAAGTCAATTTTACAGTCAATCCATTTAGGGATGGATATAAATGTAGGAGTAATGGGCAATCATAATTATGATTATATATGTGAACTAAGCTTGGACAACCAACACCTTCCATCTCAACCCAAGAGAGAAAAATGGGAGAAAGAAAAACAAAAGGCTCGAGATGCTGCAGTTCAAGTTCCAAGAAGCAAAATACGTGTGCGTTCCATCCAGAAAGTCCAAAAGTGATATCAAAAAAACAATTTCGCCAAAAGCACTATAAGCCAAAAAAGCGTCATCTAGAATAGGGACGGTTCATGAGAGCAATTTCCCTGGCAATCTCCCCCCACTCCATTTCCCTTCTATACGGCTCCGAGGAGCCCCCCTTCTGTCGAATAAACTCTTCCCAGCGCAACAGCTCGTACGCGAAAAGTAGATGTGGCTGAATAATGACATTGAGGCGGCGAGCCCTTACGAAACAATAAGCGCGTGGGAATGAGAGGTTGAGCGCCCGCATAACCTCAGCTATGCAAATAGTAGCACTCCTGGAGACCCCGACACGGCAATGAACCAATGTGGCTGTGCCTTTCTGAACTCCTCGATCTATACAGCGGCCAGTTAGTCTTGTCTGTTACACACCAGGTGGACTCGAAGGGGGTTAATCTCACCAATAAATTCAAGACAGCGCCCAAACTCTTTAGTCAATGGATCGATACCATTGTCCTGGATACCTTCAACAAAACAAATGTTTTCAGGATCCCAATTCTGCAAATTTTCCTCTGACCACGATGCAGATTCCCCAATACTAAGTATCTGGTGAATATTGAGCTGCGCTAGGAGATCCGGGTTGTTTGCATGGACAAGATTACCAAGATAGAGATAATCCAGGATCCTGCTGGGAAGCGAGCCATCCAGATCCAAAAACCACGACGGTTCAGATTTCAAAAGTTTTGTCATGTCATCCAGGCTTTTCCCCGAAGACATTGGAGATTCACACAGCAAACGAGGACTTATGGCCGACAAGAGCGACACATCGGAAGGATAAGCAAAGAAATTGCGGCGTTCAGTCGTATGAAGCCTGAGCCAAGCATCGGGTACAGGTAGCCCCGTGTTATAGCTGAAATAAGCAATAGCAAGCAGAGTTGATTCTGTATAGCCATCGGGGCAGTGGATAAGGATTTTTCGACCTCCCGCGTCCGCGGTCGATTTATGAGACTCAGCATGTTGCTGAGCATCGCTATCGCGATTTTGGGAGCTAATGGTATGGGACTCTGGCACAGTGTTATGGGAGATGTGATGAATCCATTTACAAGTGTTAAGGATAGCGTCGGCCTCGGCTTGAGACCAAGTCGGGGGCATAATGCTCCCAGATGATGGAAAGCAAATGGAGGTTGGACGAGGTAACTCGCGAGGATGCTCAGCAATGAATTGTATGGCACTTGGATCCAGCCGGCCCGTATCACTGCATTCGATGAGGACATCAAAGCGCTGCTCTTCGGCACTACCAGGCTCCGGGCTAGGACCCAGGTAGACATTGTGGCATATTTCGGAGGTTTCTGTCATATTCCGCATCTCTTCGTGTTCTTGCTGCACCAAGTCCAGGACCCGGCCGGTAGGGTTACCGGAGGCATCGATGGCTACCAAGCTACCGTGGTTTTCCTCAAAGGCAGAAAACGGACTTGTGCAGACGAAGGTATTATACACGGGCATGTTTCTCGCCTGTGCAAGCTGTTTATTTCGCCATCGTTGCTGAGCGACAGCAATTTGCCATGCGACCTTCCGACTCTCGTCTGGATCCAGCCCATAGACGATGATATCAGAGGTGGCAGCGACCTTGGTAGGCTGGATGTGAAAATTACGAACAGACAAGCCCATCAAGGGGTCTGCATCGATGAATTCGGGAGCTGTCCCTGACCGCATGAATTCCGAGGGAGCAATGGCGCCCTTGAGGCGAGCAAAGCCGAGGTTGCCATCTGCCTTGACAATAGTGATTGCTCTCAGGCAGTTTGGTGTATTTCCGGGGGGGCACTGATGGCCATCGAAGTAGGTACGCTGAGTGTGGTTGTCCGGATGTAACCCATGCAACCAGGGGAAGACCAACGAGGGAGGAGGGAGGAGTTGTCTCGAGGCGTAATCCAGCGCTTCGGCCACGCTCGTAGCATCTATCTCATATATCGAAACATGGTCGCCATCAAGACGGACAAAGTCATCGGGCGGGTAGAGCAGGGAAGCCTGTGACAGGGCTCGGGGATGGCTTGGGGACGGAGAATGCGTATACGAGCCGGAGTCTTCTTCGGACGTGTACTCGTACAGGGACACGGGGCTATTGGGAATCGGAATGGGAACGGAGCCAGGCAATTGTGGGGGCGATGCCAACCCGAGCGTTTGAAGTGGAGAGGGAGAGTTGACGGGAGTGTTTCCGCGCTGAGATGCGTTCTTTGGAGGCAGAGCGGGTCTGGGGACGGCAATTGTCGCCATGGCTGGATTCGGCAATCGGAGCTTCAATGGAAGATGATGGACAGAGGCTGGTGGAGGAGCAGCACTGGCATCTTGTCCCGGGGATGGAAAGGGAGTCTATCTCCTCCAGCGGGCTTGCGGAGGTTGGCGATGGGATCTTGTGAGAGAGCACGAGCGAAAGCGAACGGGCGGCTAACGGTTTAGGAAATGGCTTGGCTGGCAACAAGAGCTGCGTACTCGTCCTTGTCTTATACCAGGCTAAGGGATTTGGAGGTTACCCCAAGGGCTGGGCGAGTGATGACCACGAGACAGGGATTGTGTCTCGGATAAGAGAAGCTCGGATTCTGCACACGACCAAGGGAAAAAAAAAAGGAACAAAGAAATCGAGGATGGATTAGTCAAGACGTAACGCAGGTTGCAGAAGCTGCATGTTCGCGGGAGGGTGCATAAAACAGGTGGCTGGAACCAGAGGTAGGTACTGTAGGATGCGATGCAGGAAGCAAGAGATCGTTGGATATTGTAGCACATGAGCTAGCATGTCAGATAAGGTAGCGCGAGGGAGGGGTCCAGAAGCAAGGCAAACAAAGAAACAGCGGTTGGGTAGTTGGATCGTTGACGCCGCAGGTAAACCGTACAAAGTAACTGTCGCACCATACTGTGCCTGCTGCCAAGGCTATTGGCTGGATAGGCAGATCAATTGAACCTAATACACGGAGACGGTCGCATGATGAGGTGCAACAGATAGTGATGCAACAGGCGAGATCTTATTGGGCATGGCCGGGTCGCCACTCGAGCAATTCTTGGTCTGTGAGTTCAGGGAAAAAAGAGCCCCTCATTTCAACCGCTACGTACGAGTACACATACTGCTATAACGGGAAATGCGGGGGAAGAGGGGGAGAACAAGGTCCGATAGCATCTCATCTTGCATTCCTTGCTTTGATTTTAGAAGAATTTTGTGCACAAATTATATTACCAAGAGGCACTAAGCTACCCTAGGTAGACAGAAAAGGAAATCAGCTTCGACAGCAGTAACCATATGTAAAGTAGCAGTAGCATCAACGACCGACAGCGACAAGACGATAGCAGTAGAGTCACCAGTATGAGTACTAATTCACCCTTTTCTTGTTTAGGATTAGTTGGGCATTCAAAATAACCTTATACCCTTTAAATCCATCCATCCTCTACACCCGTATAACGTTATCGCGATTAGTGATAATCCGGATCTCAACGCTACGCAAATCTATAATATCATTCATCCATAACTCTATATCGCGGCCATAACCCATTGCCCGCTCTACTTTGCTCACATCATGAGTGGCGGCTTTCAAAGGGCGCTGCCACTTGCGCTTACTGTATTCTGCGGTGTTGTGGGTGGTTAGTATCTTGTAGCCATGGAACAGCCCCGAGCTTGGCACAATTGCTAATTCTCGAAAAGGATTTTACACCTTCCAGCCTTTGTTTGCTCCCCAAGACCAATCACCAACGGAAAAAGTGCAAGGTAAGAGAGAAGTGCTGCATGATGACATCCTCATGTGACCCGTAGCTAATGCGCAATCGCCTACAGAGACAACAAAGAAATGATCAACAGCGGGCACGGTAGACTTTCTCTCAGGGGCTCATTTCTGTGGGTGCAAGCAAGCCACTGCTTACTTGATTTAAGCCGGGATTGCTCATATCACATCTGCGGCGTCAAGTAAGATTCATTAAGCTCATTAGAATTATACGTCATGTCATGATATTAAATAAAAGGGGCGTCTATACCCCAGAATAACTTGTCCCAATCTATTGTATTCAAATCCATTTTCCCTTCAAGCATCTGCCAATGTTGATCCATTAATACGTTGTCAGGCTCAGTGCCCATGTTTTGCTGCATCGTGCTTATACGGAGGTCCTGATTCGTTGAATCAGGTGTCATAGGAAATGATTCTCCGTAAGATGAAATCCCTGACAATTGCTGTTGTAGGAGATCCAGGGCACGATGCTTGATCTTGTACTTCTTGAGGATCTGAATGGACAACTCCAGCAGCCTTGCCGCCGGTGGAAACTGGCCTTGTGCCTCGTGCAAAATCTTCCATGCACCAGCCACATCGTCTTCTCCCTCACCATTGTCTTCCGCATCGCCTTTCAGACAAGCATTCAACACAAGTGCAGTACTGGCCAGGAACAAGCTACGGAGAACCATTGCCAACCTCAAACGAGAGCTGAAGAAGGGAAGGCATTCTCCTTGCAGCTGATGGTCAAGCTCGAAAATCACCCTTGCGGACCTCAGGCAGACGTCGCGTGAATAGGCATACGCTGGATCAACAGTCCCCTGGGCTAAGTAGGGAAGATGAATCTTACACAGTTGTCGGTGTAGTAGCAGATTCAACATGTAGCGTTGCGCAGTGATAAAAGGCGAGCGTCTGGGATCAGTGACAGGAAGTTCATCCAGGTGTGAGCAATCGAGTGAAAGGAAGTCCGGAGCATCACTAATGAACTGGTTGAGCTTTGCATCTGCATCCAGCACATTTTTATATACCTCGGATTCGGAAACCGGCTTGCCCAAAGGTGTGCGGTCAACAAGTGCCCGACATACTTCTGCAAGACGGATGCGCTGGACGAAATAGGAGATGCAAGTGGCCTCGGTTGCTGGACGATCAACAATCTCTACTCCCTCCATGATGTCTTCGTCATTCGCATTTCGTGGCTTGTTTACAGCCATCTGGTTTTGGTGGATGAGATAAAAGCCTTCTTGAGGACAATTGAATTGAGCCAATGTCCTTGAGGATCGGTTAGCAATCTTGGATGATGATATGTTTACCATCATACGCCGGGAGATCCAGACTTACCAGTCAGTTGCAACCATGAACCACCAAACTCTCCTTCCAATTTCCTTCCTGGACTCACTCATCCGAAGAAGCGTCGGCATTGGACTGCCTCGAGGGTCATCGAGACGATGCAGCGACAGCTCCGTGGCCATTGCAATGGCCGACATGAAGACACTACGGGCACGGTAGGAGACGCTCTCGTGATTACAGAAGACGAAGAACAGGATGATGAGGCCTTGAATGCACTCCAACGACGCATGTGCGGTTCTCTGTGCATGATCGACGACATCCAGCGCCTGCTTAGTCCAGAAGGTTGACTGTCCGTTCGCCTCGGAATAGTCTGAGAATAAACACCTGATATCGTCGGGGGCCGACCACGCATACGTTGTGCTTGCGCATATGCTTAGCAGCAGCAATATGCCGCCAACGTCGACACGGACGTTTGCCTCCAGCCCTGCATATATGTCTTCCACGAGGCTCTGCACCGTGGGGACATGTATGATGTGGTAAAACAAGGAAATATCAGCTATGTACTTCTGGAGTATGATGCGCATCTCATCTCGGCGAGGCAGCCAGATGCACTTGACGGCATCCACCGGCCCTGTCATTGACGCCGGATGACCATTTTGAAAAGCATGGGACGGTTGAGTTGGGGCTAATCGAATGGGACAGGTACGAAAGATGATGGGGTCAGATATCAAGGAATCCTACTCTAGATCTCAGTCTCACGAAAGCACATCTTACCGCGCAGAGACAGCCCCTTGGGGAGGAATGCTCGGGCTCACCATCAACTTTTGATCGGAGCAGGATCGCTCCAGCTCCAGCGCGTCAGCCGTCAAGCGCTGCAGTCTAGGTGGCACTGGGCGTGATGCCAAGGCAGGAGTATGCGCTTGTTGTATTGGCTTTTCAGCCCCTTTCACCGAGTCGCCATCCTTTTCGCTCCCCTGGGCCGCAACGAGGCTCTCCAGACGCTCCAGACGAGCCAGCAGCTCCAACGTCGACGCATCCTTCAGAGCAGGCGATTTGACCTGCGCTTGACTTCCCGTCGGTGCCGCGACCGCGACCCCTTCATGTTGGCAAACAACGCCGCGCGACGTACAGTTGGAGCATGGAAACTGGCGACTGCAGCGCAACTTGCGTACCCTACACAGGTGGCACGAAATTGGGCGCTGTCTCGGTTGGCGACCCATTCTGGAATATGGTTCAACAGGATAAGCCAACAATTTTCTACGAAGAGTCCATGGAATGAAAGGAAGCAGTTGCCATTCATTTTCCATGGGCATTGGGGGAGTCGCTTATCGAAAGATTTTCCGCGGAGTTTCCGCGGGCATGAATTAGTTTCTGACATCATGCCATGAGACAGCCAATGATAGCACAGGATTATTCTCTGACTGACAGAGTCTTTTGTGAAATAGAGGGACTGTTGCTCGTCGGAAATAGCTCCTAAGCCCATTAACAAATTTTGCAATTATCATTTTCGTTGAGTTGATGGTTTTTTTGTTTCAACCAAGCACCAGTATTTAGATGTGGTTATATCCCTATCCAGAGTCCATCAAGCGAATTTCCATGTGATATTCTTCTACCCGGTAAGACCTTGCGAACATGACGTTTAAGAACATATTTGCTCCACTTGCTTATATATCCAATATGCGGTTTTACGGAAGTTTGCACTTACAGCATTCATAGCTAGACACCTCCTTTGTCAAGCATGAAGCTCCAATGCAAACGGCGATCCATAAGCTGATTGGCTGGCAAATTGGTCTGCGGAGTTTAAGCTTTTGGAGAGCTGCTTACCTCATCTTGGAGTACCTACTCCGACATCGTCTCACTGCTTGCGGATCCTGGCCTCTTAACGCAGCTACAAGACAATATGAGCAAAGACACTTGGTCTACTTGAAGACGCACCCTAGAAGATATTCGAGTCTTGTTTACAATTTGAACTCCTAATAACGTTGAAACCACTCATCCCTTCTACCTAATTTCTTCATATTGACACGATATCTTGAGACCCCATATGATGACCTGAACGGGTCGCCACGCCCCTAAGTCAACTCATCCAGCTGTTTGGATCCCTGACAACCGCCATTCCCATTTTCTAGATATGCTGAACCGGAAGTCTCATTTTTCACAATGATGAGACTAAACCGGGGGCGTCTTTTGTCCCATTGGTGCTCTTCCCCAATCCAGAGATATAGAGTCGCCGTGCTCCCAGGCCACTATAGCCGTCATCTCTCGGTATATCCGTCTCTTCGATCTAAGCAGACGCCGGACTTTAGCTCTGGCTTTACCAGAAGCTATGATCCTACACAGGAATCTGGCCGTGGCCCCATGTTTAGAAAAGTAAATTTCGGAGTACCGCAATTCTACCCTCGTGATTTGAAAAGGCGTGTGGACGAATACGTTGTGGGCCAGGACCGTGCTAAAAAGACAATATGCGCTGCCATCTTCAACCACTACCAGAATCTCAGGAGAAGACGTCAGCACGAGCAAGAGGACAAGGAGAAGCATGAGAAACTCATGCGCCAACGGTTCGCACGTGATAGAGAGCTGTCCCAAAGGCGATGGGATGCTCCCCCCCTCGAAGGTAAGTTCACTGCTCACAGACATCAAGATCCCTGCCAGTAACACAGCCCATCAAGACGAAGTTCCCGGACAAAGTTCCTCAGCCCGCCAGGCGTCTGAGCTCGCATCCGAAGCAAGCTTTAATGCTCCGATTTTCAAGCCCGAGGAGCCGGCTGTTGCCGAGCACGTCAAGATTGACAAGAGCAACATCCTTGTGATTGGGCCGACTGGTGTTGGCAAGACGTACATTCTAGAGTAAGTAGCTAATTTCTACACTTTCATAATTGTTTGGCTTGTTTTAGCTGATGGGAAATCTCAGAACTTTGAGCAAGAAGATACAAGTACCGCTCACCATCTGCGACTGTAACTCCCTAACCCAAGCAGGCTACATTGGACAAGATGTGGAATCCTGCATCGAAAGGCTACTCATAGAAGCAAATTACGATGTCAAGGCGGCAGAGCACGGCGTGGTGGTCTTAGACGAGTTTGACAAGCTAGCAAGACGAGAGACAACAACGGGTCGAGATGTGAGCGGCGAAGGTGTTCAACAAGCCTTGCTCAAACTCGTTGAGGGAACAAAGGTCACCATCAACGTCAAGGACAATCGTTCTTCTCGTGCGGCTACGCCCATTCCCACAAATTACACCGCTTCCGGTGCCCCGACAACATCAATGCCGGTTAGCAGTCCGCCAGGCAAAGTGGACCAGTACACCGTCGACACCACCAACATTCTCTTCGTCTTCTGCGGTGCTTTCGTGGGGCTGGATAAGATTGTTCTTCGGCGGGTCTCAAAGCCAGCCATGGGATTCGGAGGAGATGTTCAAAGTCGACAAGCCGGGGCGGGAAACAACTACAACCTGCCACCTGAAACATACGCCCACCTAGCACACTACAGCCCACAGTCTGCACCAAGTTTCACTCCAATGGATTTGGTAGTATCCGAGGACCTCCAGCGGTTCGGGTTTATTCCTGAGATTATAGGCCGACTGCACAACATCTGCGCCCTCAGCCCGTTGTCAAAAGAAGACCTCTATCGAATTCTCACCGAGCCACGCAATAGCCTAGTGGCTCAGTATACCGCACTGTTTGAGACATATCCGTCTCAGCTATACTTTACTGAAAAAGCACTAAGCGCCATTGCTGAACGCGCACTGGCAGCCGAAACGGGTGCACGAGGGCTGAAGATGGAGATGGAGCGCGTTTTAGCTGAACCAATGTTTGACGCCCCGACGCCATACGTCCTCATCACTGAAGCCTGCGTCAACGGGCATGAAAAAGCACCGTACTGGGGGAAAGATGGACGTCATGAGCTTATTCGGAGGATGGAAGAAGAGCAATTCAACCCACACAACACAGAGCACTCACTGGAGCAACTGGGGCAGGTAGACGAAGGTAGAGGATGAGATTTGAGAAGCATGCGTAACCAATTTTGTTTCTTTGTCCTTTTTCTTTTTTCGTGATTTAGAATAGTAATATGCATAAGGGCATTTCGAAGACTTTTTCGAGGCAAAACTTTTTTTGTAGGTGTTGTTGTCCGTGAATTGTGTGACCTTCTTCACGGATCAATGGATAAAGTGATGGTTTTGGAAGAATGGCACTGGCTCCTGATGTAACATCATTCTAGACTCGTCACTTGAATAATCAACGCCATGCGAGAACCCTGTCTTGCATATCTCTCTAGGACTAAAGCTATACATGTACAAATGTCGTTTTGATAAAACCTCTCCCATGCCCGCCCCAATTGTGCGAAGCTTGGAGCGATATTATCGTGTGTTATTTTAGTTTTTGGGAGGGGACTGAACAACACCCTTGCCAGTATAGCCGGGAGAAGAGATACCAGTGAGGGGATCAGCACCTTGAGCCTATTGAAGCAGGTTAGTCAGTCATATCCTGGCAGCGTCAGGTTGGAATTTGGAGAAATATATCTATACCTTGAGCAGCTCGTTAGAGGCCTCCTGGTACTCCTTGTTCATGGTGTAAGGCGCAGGCTTGGCGGCAACTCGGATGGCAGCGAAGAGAGCGAGAGAGGCGGCAAGGCCAACGGCAACTCCCCAGGCAACACGGGCACCGGCTCCGGGAGCGTCAACGGTGCGGGGGCCGTGAGGGCCGAAGGCGATCCAGTAAGCTATTGTCATGACATGAAGTTAGCAGCTGAAGAAGATGATTATAAGTGCTAGTAGCAGTGGTTATGACGTGTTGAACGTATGTTTTATGTGTATTGGCAAAAGCTCTTTCTTGATTGGCATAAAATTCCCAGCCCACTCGGTCCAGGAATTGATGACGCTGAGCACCTCAGCCCGCCTCGATTTGGTGAATAGTTTCCATGCCAATTAAGATCGGATTGCCGGGATCGTTATCGTATGAGCTGTTATAGGTCCTCGAGAGGCAGAAAAAGGAAAGGAAAAGAGTCTGCAGCTCCGGATCGAGGCAGGAAGCTCAAGCCAGCTCTCCCGGGAGGGATTTTCACGAAAACTCAATGTGCACCACCTACCGGCCTTCTTCTCCTGCAGGGTCAGGTCGTTCCAGCTGCCCTTCATGCGGTCACGCAGGGCCATCCACAGGTCGGCCTGCTCCTGGAGAGGCATTCCCTCCCAGCGTTTTTCGATGTTGGACAGGGTCGGGTTGGAGAGCGCCTGGCTCGACATGGCCCTGGACGCAGCCAGTCGGGTGGTCTGCGTCAAGGCATTGCCTCGTAGAACCATAGAGCGCAGCATCTTGTAGGGATTTGCGATTGACGGAGCTCGAGTCGAGTTCAATTGAGAGGTAGCAGCGAGGTTGTCGGTGGTTGCGGTAGTGCAGCGAGGGGATTTAATTCCCGTGCTCCATATGTCCTTGACTAGACAAAATCATACGACTTCTAGTTGGCTGGTGATGAGTATGGAGCGATTAGCGCAAAAATCTTTGACTACATGCCTGTGGGCAGCTAAGCTATCTACAGCCGCACCACGAAAATGTGAGAGTGGGGTGTCATAAAGCATAACAGCAGTATTATACACTTTATATGATAAAATACTGACTTTTCTGTAAATATTATTAATTGATTAAGTCTTTAATTCCTTTTAATTAATAACAGTTTAATATTTCTTTTTAATATTCTATGTTTTTAAGGAAATCAATTTGGAATACTATATTATAGTTTATTTAATTCTTCTTTTTTTAATGAAATAAAGGATTCTATTCTCCTCATTAAAGGTAATTAAAAAAAAAAACTTAATAAATTATTCTCAATTGGCTTAACCGAGGCTATTCTTCCGTATCTTCAGCGTCTAAAATCACCATGGTGGGATAGGGCCCTGTACCCGGTGCTGCCTTGTTCCGAACTAGCCTGTGCATCGCATGTGCGGATCTGCATTGTCATCAAGCAGCAGCCTTCCAAACCGCATCACACACTATTGCGCCAATACTTCCATATGGAACGTCTAACAAGGCTCTTCGCCGCCGCCAACTATGGCTGAGACACCGCTTGAGAAAGCACCAGAACTAGATAGCCCCCCGCCATCAAAGCCCTACCATGCGAAGCGCCCTCACAAAAAGTCCCGGTCCGGCTGCCAGAACTGCAAGGCGCGAAAGGTGAAATGTGACGAATCGAGGCCCGTGTGCCGGTCGTGTAAGCTGCGAAAGGCCGACTGTGTTTATCTTGATCCCCAAAAGCCGCGCCACTCTGCCGCTGTGACGACTTCGGCGGTATGGGATTCGAATTCGAAGTCATTCGGGAGTCGGGCGCTGGCGCATCATACCAAGTCTGAGACGACTGCCTCAACAAATCCTACAAGTATATCTTCGGCATCGTCTGTCCTATTTTCGGCACCTATACTTTCGCTGGCCGAGAGGTATAGCAACCAGACTACTTCTATACCTGCCGAGTTACTATGGTGTCCAGTCGGGATTGACATGGCGGATATGAAGGCACTATGGTTTTATGCGACTCAGACATGCGGCTCCTTTTCCATTGTCGCAAACGACGGTCACAAAAATATCATGAGAAGCCTGTTGGTTCGGTTCGGATCCGAGTCTCCCTTTCTGCTCGACTCCATCTTCGCCCTCGCTAGTTTACATATGCAACGTCTCAATCAGCAGTTCGACCCAAAGCGCGCTCTGTCGTATCGGGTCAAGTCGTTGGCAGGATATCGCAAGGCAATTGAAGATGCTAATCCGGGAGATTTCCCCGCTCTGGTCGCAAACTCTCTGCTTCTAACGGCCCTGTCGTCCGAGAACTTCCGGGAGCCAGACGGCACTCATTTATATATTCTTGACTGGCTTGTCGTATGGAAGGGTATCATCCTCGTTATGGATCTAGTTTCCAAGTCTACTGTTGTCGAGAGTGGCCTGAATAGTCTATTCTTCCGTCCTCCTACCGATGTGGAAAAGACTGCTTTTATTCCTCGTCAACTCCTACAGATGGTTGCTTCCATCACGCCGAGCGATTTCGACTACTCATTTAGGGAGGCATATGTTGAGACGTTGAAGTATCTGGGCAGTCTATATGTGGATTTGGCGCAAGGGCCTTCATCCATGAGGAGTCTGAGGATTATAACCATCTTCACATATCTCCCTAGCCAGTTCATCGACATTGCGCGTATGTCGCAACCGCGTGCTTTGGTCATCCTTGCTTACTTTGCAACTTTTTTCAAGCTGGTTCAGTGGGAAGTTTGGTGGCTGGAGGGCGTGGGTGACCGCACAATACGGGATATCTGCGGCCATCTTGATCTGGAATGGCAGGCCTTCTTGCAAGTCCCATACGCGGCCCTCGATGCTCAAGACCGCAAGCAGCTGTCCAAGATCATACTTGAAGATACAGAGCTGGTCTCGCCTCAAGGCTACCTTCTGGAATACGAAGCATATGTAGACCAATCATTAGGTTTGCTGTGAGATTACGGCCCTCATTAGCTTAGTCTTGTCATGTCCCTGGAGCCTTGGTCTTTTAGAATATTTGTACTTGTTTCGATAGAATTTGGTAGAACTCGATGAATTGATAAATCAATCAAACATATAAGTCTACGTCGGTAATTTTGAATAAATTTTTTTGTTATATTAATAGTTGCAAAATTTCTCAGCTCTTGTACATATAGCCCATGGATAGCATGTTTGAAGAACTCTTACTATCAGATAGCTGTTTACTACTATACTAGTCTATACACAGGCCAACCATTCCCAGCTCTTGGGACGAGCTAACTGAGGCCTTTTTAATTCTTCTCCAGATCCGCCAGAATCTTCTCACCCTTGGCCTTGGCTGAGGCCAGGTCGCCAACCATGTAGAAAGCAGCCTCGGGCAGGCTGTCACCCTCACCGTTGAGGATGGCCTTGAAGGAGGCAATGGTGTCCTTGAGGTCAACGAGCTTACCCTCGATACCAGTGAAAACCTGGGCGACGGTGAAAGGCTGGCTGAGGAAACGCTGGATCTTACGGGCACGCTCGACGGTAAGCTTGTCGGCTTCAGACAGTTCGTCCATACCCAGAATAGCAATGATATCCTGAAGACCCTTGTACTCCTGGAGGATCTGCTGGACACGGGTGGCGGTCTGGTAGTGCTCCTGGCCGACAATACGGGGGTCAAGCATACGGGAGGTGGAATCAAGAGGGTCGACGGCGGGGTAGATACCCAACTCGGAGATACCACGGGACAAGACAGTGGTGGCGTCCAAGTGAGCGAAGGTGGTGGCAGGGGCAGGATCAGTCAAATCGTCAGCAGGGACGTAGACAGCCTGGACGGAAGTAATGGAACCCTTCTTGGTGGTGGTAATTCGCTCCTGCATACCACCCATGTCGACGGCGAGGGTGGGCTGGTAACCGACGGCAGAGGGGATACGACCAAGCAGAGCAGACACCTCAGAACCGGCCTGGGTGAATCGGAAAATGTTGTCGATGAAGAGCAACACTGTGGAGGGGATATTAGCGCCGTGTATCTAAAAAAGGAGGTAGAGAAAGGGCGCAGCAAGAATAAATAAACAACTTACCATCCTGACCCTCCTGGTCACGGAAGTACTCAGCAATGGTCAGACCAGTCAGGGCGACACGGGCACGAGCTCCCGGGGGCTCGTTCATCTGACCGAAGACCAGAGCGACCTTGGACTCGCCATCAAGCTGAATGACGGAGGTCTCCTGCATTTCGTGGTACAGATCGTTACCCTCACGAGTACGCTCGCCGACACCGGTGAAGACGGAGTAACCACCGTGAGCCTTGGCGATGTTGTTGATCAGCTCCTGAATGAAGACGGTCTTGCCGACACCAGCACCACCGAAGAGACCAATCTTTCCACCACGAGCGTAGGGAGCGAGCAGATCGACGACCTTGATACCAGTAACCAGAATCTCGGCAGAGGTGGACTGGTCAGTGAAAGAGGGGGGATCAGCGTGGATGGGCAGGAACTTGTCGGTCTTGACAGGTCCTCGCTCATCAATGGGGTCACCAGTGACGTTCAGGATACGACCGAGAGTGGCGGGGCCGACGGGAATGGTGATGGGAGCACCAGTGTCGGAAGCCTTGGCACCACGAACAAGACCCTCAGTACCTATCATGCGCATGAGCTTTCCAAGTCCATTGCGAAGATGAGAGCGGAATATCCTTACCGTCCATGGCAATGCAGCGAACGACATTCTCGCCCAAGTGTTGCTAGACAAGTCGTTAGATGCGGTACTTAACAACAGCAGCTAGGTGTACCTACAGCGACCTCAAGGACCAGCTTCTGGTTGTTGTTGGTGGTCTCCAGGGCGTTCAGGATAGGAGGCAGCTTGGCAGTGTCGAACTTGACTATGGAAAAATCAGCCGCGTGCTCAATGGTGCTGCAATGCTTCCTATACACGTCTATATAAAAAAAAACGCAAGGGTTTTCACTAACCGTCGACGACGGCACCAATGACCTAAGGCGGCTATTAGCGACAATTTCCACCATTGACCATTTGTTCCCAGGCACGGCTTACCTGGTAGATCTTGCCATCTCCAACGCTCTGAGTGCTTGCAAGCCTGACGATGGGGGATCGGGGGAAGGCTGGTCGGATAGCTCGTCGAGCGGCAATTGATGGGCGGGCAGCCCTTGCGAGGGACGAAACGCCGCTGTCGGGTTTGGCACGGTTAGAGGTCTGTTCCAATTCGCATGCAGGGCAAGGGATCAATGGCCGGCAGCCAGATTGAGGCGTGAGGACTCACCTCTTGAACATCTTGGCAGATGACAGAGAGCAATCAGCGATGGATATGCAAATGAGTTGGTTAAGGCCGGGAGAAGTTTTCAAAATGAGCAGTTTAGGACGGGAAAGCGACTACTCCGGTAAGAGCTTTCTTCCGGGTCACGTGCAGCCACTAGGATTGGGTTTTGGGCCATTTGACCCCATCCTCCCCATCAATCCGGCCGCCCACTCAAAGGCTGCGAGATTTCCAGCGGCCTGCTAGCGGTACGACTCCGTGTCTTTCCGGCTAGCAGCGTTGCCAAGTTTCCTCTTCGACTACCACACTGCCAACCCTATTTGTTGATGATATTCCTGTGCTCTCCTGCTGTGTGCTGCCTCAGTCCTCCTGTGAGGGGGTGCAGTGGCAGGTAGCTCACGATGCTGAAATCCCTGCTGCGGAGTGCTTAATGGGCATGTACTATCTAGCACGATACAAAATTGCTTAGATAGAAGTTCTAATTGCTCTTCTCTTCTCTTCTTTTTGGTCTAGATTTCTGGACAAATATGCTACTTCGTCTTCAGGTCGCATCGCCTCAACGCCTTGCTATTCAGGCAATAAGGTGTCAAGGCTTCCAGCTAGTTCGCACCTTTAAACATGAAACCGAGAGTCGCGGGGTGCAGTGGGGTGGATATTCTTCCTCGGTACCTACGCCTTGTTAGGTAGGTGCACATTTGCAGCCAGCCGCGCTTGATATGATGACGAATACATGAATCAATTGACACTGGATTCTCTCTCTAAATGCCACTAGGACTAATTTACCAGAAGAAGTCGGCTCTTCTATACTCCAAGATCTGAGTTCTGCATTTCTCTTCTTTATCTGACAAGTGAACTGATTATGTAAGGAAACTAAACAATGACAACTGAATCTCATTACCTGCATACTGACTAGCACCTCTCACAACCATCCAAGCATCTTATACGCCCAACATCATCCACAAGTGTTCAAAGACGTCTATAACCTACACAACGATATCACGCTCCCAACGATGAAAACCATGTCCCAGATCCAATCTGCTGTCCAATCTTCTGTTGCACCGCTTACTTGTCCCAACAGCTGCTTCCTAGTCAGAGCATTCGCCTGCATCCACAAATTCTTCTCATGTTGTACTGACAGATACATGAAAAAACTCGCCAACGTCCAAATTGGGGTTGCCAGAAAAGTGATTACTGCTCGTGCCCAGATTTGGAAGATATATGTCGTGTCCCATAAGGGACTTGGCTTTGGTCCCACGTTCATTGCCTCAGTGAAGTCGAAATATAAATCCTTTGCAATAGCGACAAAAGGTTGAACGGATCGAACCGCTGTAGCTTTTCGCGCTGCAAGTGAAGATACTGGCGGGGATGATGAAGGCTTCTCCAACGAGATGACTTTCTGCTCATCATCGTCTTTTCTCGGGCAGTTTGGTTGCAAAATCTGTCCAGCGGGCGTCTTAGTGCTCGTAGCAACACCAACAGATGGATTTGCTTTGAATGTTGTTTTCTTGAGGGCGGCGATTTCTGCCTCGCGTGCTGAAATTCTCTCCGTGTGAGACTCCAGCTGTTTCTTTAACGAAGCATTTTGTTGACGCATTGCTTCCGCTATCTCATCTTGAGACCCAAGTTTCTTCTTTAAGGAAGCATTTTCTTGACGCATTGCTTCCGCTCTCTCATCCTGAGACTCTAGCTGTTTCTTTAACGAAGCATTTTCTTGACGCATTGCTTCCATCATCTCATCTTGAGACTCAATTTTCTTCTTTAAGAAATCAAGTTCTGCAAGAATCTCATCAATGTTTGCCCTGGAGTTCTGATCCGATTCTGCGTTGATAGGGTGAACGATGTTATTTCCGGTTTCGCTTGCGCCGTCCATCGCATCATCGCATGGTATCGACGGACTTAATCGTGGTGAGTCAACTGGGAGGATGTTGTCTCTGGTAGCAGCATTGTATTCGTCTTCCTCGTCGCTCTCATCACTGGAAACGTCCAGTTGCAATCCCAGCGAGAGTCCAGTCATATTGTTGTTCGCATCCGGAAAAGACATCTTGTCGTCCTCCAAAGTAGGGAACTCTTCTCCCATCAAAGATTGCCCTTCAGGCGTCCTCGTATATTCTCCTTCGCCAGACTGCTCGTCCGAAATTGCGATTCCAGAAGCTGCAGGATTGAAACGGTCGACCGCATTGGTAGGAACCGCATCTGCAGCTCCAATCCATTCGTCATGTTCGTTCTTGCTTTTTAGCTCGGCTTTAGGAGCTGTTGCCTGGCCGCCATGTTCATTCTGTACGGCTGAGCTTCGAGCTGGCCCTCTTCTGCGTCTGGGGGCAGAACTGTAACCTGAGCCGTTTGCAGCAAAGTCGTCAGGCATACCGTTCCATGGTTGCTCGGTGTCCACCGGGTTTGGCTTGTTTCCAGACATGTTCAGTTTAAGGAGGCGTGGGCCTGAGTGGTTCAAGGGTTGCCCAGGAGTAGAACGCTTTGAAAAGTTTCAGGAATAAAAGGTCAAATCGAAAGGTTATGCCAAAAGAGGACGCATAAATATGCTCGGCTATGCAAGTAAAATGTCTTGACTTCAAGGTCGCAGAAAGGAGTGCCTACGACTCGCAGAGATGCGAAGAATATATAGCCAACTCAAAATCTCAACTCTTTGCCTCATCATTAAAATGGGCTGTCGATACAAACTTTTGCCTTTGACAAAACATGATGAATAAAGGGGCTTCTGGTCAAAGGAGATAACTTCCCACCTAGAAGCAACTGAAAGGGGGATTCCTTTGCCACCGTGCCATGTTTCTCTCACGCTTGCTTTATCACCATTATGTAGCCCCTTCAAGGGTTGATTCCACTTTCTTTGTCGTGTAGACACAAAACATATCGATGGGGTAAATAATATCGGGGCGAGAGGGCACTGTTCATGATGTGCGGGCACAATCCAACTGGCTTGTCTTTCAGCCAAGGCGTTGTCCCACTCCTCTTCAAACACTTCTTTGTCTATAACAACGCACAAAACATCAGGCCCCAGCAGCATTCCATAGGCACAAAAAGTCTTTGTTCATTTCAACTACTCAAAGGGGCTATATTTAGCCATACCAGCCCCTGGCTCCTGGGCCGGAAACCGTTAGTTCTGGTCGGTGTTCAATCATGGGTTCTTTGATGCCCATTGTGTCGATTATGTCTCGCCATGTTTCCATATCCATGGATAAAATAGCTTGATGCTTGGATGTTGCCTGGCGAATAGCGGCGGTGTCATCGCTCTCTCGGTCTACTGGTGCTGCACACGGTATCAGCATCAGTTGCACGACGTGGAAACTAATGTGTGCTTTGCATCAATTCAACACTCACCTAATGCGGGGAGACCATGTTCGTCGAAATCAATCTCCACCCTCCCATCACGGATTAGAAAGCTCACGTAGAACAAATTCTCGATGGTCTGCCCAAAAGACTTTGGGTTAACCACGAATCGCATTAGGTCGATTCCTCCTGTACTTCGAAGCCCATGCTGGTGCATAATCCGAGTGTTTTCCTCGTCATCCATGTCGTCTGTGATCAAGTCTGCCACTGTTTGCTGTGTATCAGCCTGGATCTTGTAGAGCTGTTGAAGAATCTTCCCGCATATGACGGTAAGGTCGTTTTCCTTCTTGGCTAGGTCATCCACATTGAGGATTTCAGGCCTCGTCTCCGTTAAACTATTTGGACGAAACGGGGCATTTCGCTTTGCTGCCTTGCGTACCTTCTTTTCCACCGATAGTGGACCTAGAAGGAAGCCAGGCAACGCAGGTCGTCTGATGTATGGCAAGCAAGCAAAACGACCGAGGTGGGCCCAATTCATCATGTCTCCCTCGTCTCCCACATCGTCATTATCATTGTCGTTTGATCTGTCGTGTACTGTCCGCCTCCGCTGCCTCTGGGTGCTTGAGAGCTCCAGGGATTGATCGCTCGTAATCCCCCCACCATTTCGCATATATGTAATGCACTTGGAGATGAAGTCATCAACGTCAAGACCCTGTGATAGGCTGCCTTGAGTAAGGCGTAGTGTTTTCCGATATGACAGGTCGGTCGTACTGACAAGCAGCCGTGAATCAATGGTTGCTTCTGTAGTTTGTCGTACTTGCTTGGATAGTTCATTGGCCCGTAAAATAGTCTCGTGCAGACCGTGAGAATCACCCTGCAGATATTCCTCGCTATTTTCTGTGATGTCGCGGAGGAGATCGCGGAATCCCTGCTGGACCTTCCGTCTCTCTTCCAGAGGTTGATCCGGATCATACACATCGTCCAGATCATCATCGTCCATTGTAGAACCTGGCGTAGAGTCTCGGTCTCGTGAAGCCATGTCGGTGCGCTTTCGTTTGGTGCTCGTTTGGTCCTGTGAGTCTTCTCTCTGCCTCACAGCTAGCCTTCCTCGTGAGGGCAGATGGTGTGGTTGCTCTGAGCCATCAGACTGCGCACCTGGAGGTTCTGGATTCCGGGCTGACATGGCTGCAGATGATTGTTGTCATAGTCGTGATTGGACGATGGACAAATTTCATAAGCAGGGCATAATTGAGGCTCTGGCGAGTCCTGCAGCCACTCGGTTATTTGGCGGTTGAAGAGGTCAAGATGCATGCAAGATGCAGGTCTACATGTAACCCATGAAGTCTCAACTCGAAAATGCCATAGCGGCAAGACAATCACTGGACGCGCTTTGGGTTGAACCATTTACGCGGTAATACAGCGCTAGCCTTGGGCGGTAACCACCTACACGATCACGCTATTTCACGCGTGTCGAAAGGCCCGCAAGGTCCGTTAGTGCCCCCGAGATGTGCGGGCAACTAACTATTGATGCAGACTGCTCCATTCGTCGTATCAATCCTGGAGATGCTCCGCAATCAGATAGCACGAATACAGCAACGACCAGACGACTATGCAACATCCAGTAAACATGGCTTAGCACTACTGCACTTCGTACCTGATAAACCGAACAGGGCCCCGATTTGCAAACAATTGCGCCAACGTCGGCTATTCGGGCCAATTATTGGCTGTTTTGACCGCAACGTGCACTACCAATGAGTGATATTCCTGAGCTGTTTGTACTGCTAGGCTGGTTTATCCCGAGATTTACAACCAGCATCATATACATGTAATCGTACAGAAACATCAAACTGGCCAAATATTGACCTAGTATCTCCGTCTGTAGCTTAAATAGATAGGGTAGAGCTTCGGGCGCTACATCTCTCGCCTCGTCTCACATGCAGATGCAGTATTCATTCACTTATTCCAGAAACACATGCTAACCAACCAACCAACCTACATGTACTCCGTATGACATGGCGCAAACCCAACCATCCCGTAGTCCGCGGTTCAACGGAGCTTTTACCTGCAGAACACCAATAGGCACAGCTGGCGGTAAGCTTTAGCTGCCTGACCTGTCCACTACAGGCCAGCTCTGCATTTCTAGACCTCCTCCATGTGCTCTAGGCACAGCGCCAAGGTTTGCTCCGCCGCTCTCTCCGCCCCCACGGCTTCTCGATAACCATCTGCGGAGAGCAGAGTCGCGTGATGGCTTGCTGGCATGCGCATTTCAGCCCGGAGCTCGCAGTGCATGCAAACTTGAACTTAAATCGTACATCTACCCCTTTAACTGAACCTCAGGGTCGACGTCAACCTCGTCATCCCGCACGATACCTGTGATACTCACAAGGTCCCCGCTCTGACAGTGATCAAGCTTATTCACATATCATCCTTGCCGCCAGATGGATATATAACCTCCAGCTTCTTTGGATTAACGCTGCGGTGCTTGACGTCTTCTGCATTCCATATCCTCTTCTCTGCGTAAACCCAGGCTGAAGGACATATTCCTAAACTATAACCACTGCATTCCCCATATTTCGTTACCGTCTCACCCGTACTCTACCAACCGCCTCGCCCTCATCATGACAGCACTCGCCTCTGCACCGCGCTACAGCGCAGATGACTTTGATACAGCTTCAATTCGCTCCGCTGCTCCATCTTATGGTATGTGTATATCCGTGGCCAATATAGATTAAAAATCCGTGTTGTTGGGAAATACATGGTTGCCGATGCATACTGGCGGTGAATGTCTGGAGATGGGGATGACTAACGGAAAAGACAGTCTCGGAGGTGCCCTCATACCGTTCGAGGACTACGTATAACGAGGCGTCTCCAGCATATACGCCAAGAGCAACAACTACAACGACAGCCACAACAATTGCGGTAGCGGGACCGTCACAGAGAATCTTCTCCGGAGCCTCAAGCTCATTAACCGGAAGACCGACGGTTGGGCTACCGCCACTTCCACCGTTGGCCTCCCCGAGGGTCCTGAATGAGCACAACTTTCGTATTCCCACATGGTCAGCTGGCAATGCTCCAGCAGCCCGTCACTACCGCAACGTCGCGGAGAGACGGGCCATTGATGGACGACTCCTAGCCGCGGCTGACCTGATTGGCATGCGGGACACCACTTCCACGATTAATCGGCAGAATGAGAGCAATGAAGATCCTGTTGTCCGTCCGCTAGAAGATCCGTATTTAGTGGGCGAGGAAGCTGCGGCTGAAGCCCGTCAGCGGAGGATAGCCCGTGAGGTTGGCGAGGAGATGTTGAGGGAAGAGGATAAGCAGTGGGATTGGATGTTGGCCCAGATGAAGCGCCAGGAACGAGATAGAAACTGGACCCGGATGCGACAAGAGGCGGTCAACAGCCGGCGGAAAACGTTGCTTCGACGAATTGGCGGACGGCTACTATAAGTGACGACTGATCTACCATCTACCATCTATCATTTACCATCTGCATGTCTTGTTAACCATGTTAAACTCACTATCATGGTTGGTCTAGAGGAGTTTCTCTTATGGAAGTTACAATTGCTCACATTACTTGGCCCGGTCATTGTAGGCCACATCGGTGTATGCTAGTTCTTTAGGTTGAACAGTAGCTATTCTGATTCTTATCCTCTCATACCCAAAACGTGGTGCTCGCATTTCATTTATTTACAAGCCACTGTGGTTCTAACTTCCATATCACCAGCTCCCTAGTTACTCTTTAACACAATTCTGATGAGTTAATAAAGATCTCTAACACGGACAACCTGAATTCCAACCTTCGTACATGATTTACGCACTTCGCCTCCATGCACAGCGCGTAGCATGTAAGACATCACCTTTGTCCATCTTCTGATGTGCACAATGCCTAGAAATACAAAGACTCCAAAAAGTTTGAATATTGACCGGAGCCATTCAGCTGCAAACATCCTTTAAACGGTAAAAAAAAACATGCCCGTTCTCGGTACTGTCGAATTCAACTCTTCGTGTTGAGCAAAAGTGCAACAATAAGTCTAAAACAGAAACAGTTAGCATAGTTGGCATGATACGATCAAGGTTGCATACCCATAAAGACCCAGAACTTCGCCAAAGATAAGAATCAACACCATGCCAACGAATATTCTAGACTGTGCCATGAAAGCACGGACACCGCTATCGCCAACAATACCGATACAGTATCCAGCTGCAAGCCCAGTTAATCCCACAGATAAGCCGCAGCCGAGATGCATGAAGCCTCTATGTCGGATGTTAGCAAATGTGAATCAGGGAGACTCTCGATCGACTCGACGAACGTAAATAGACTGTAGCTCTTTGCTGAAGGAGCGGCAAGATCTTCGGCTATGAGAACTGCAATAACAAGCGAATAGACCGCCAGAATACCGGACATGATGACGGGGATCAGGCACTAGAAATTATAAGTGAGTCCGATTGCCACATTGCGAGACAAGCCTGAACAACGCACCTTCATGATGAGATCCGGCCGAAAGGTTCCCACGCCAGCAATACCAATGCCTGATTTCGCCGTGCCATACGCAGCACCAATACCTAATAAATCATACAGTCTTTAGTAAAGTCGAAGATGAAGTAGGGGGGTTAAATCAGCGAAGAGGAAGTCGTACATCCGAATATCATTGCAGCCGCGATGCCGCCCTTGACGAAGCGTGTCAGTCAGTAGCTGTCAGGGGCCTTCATTTCGCTCAAAGGAGAAGACTCACCATGCCGATGAACGGCGCAAACTTGGGAGCAAGCTCTGACTCCATGATTGCAGCTGTAGCTATTGTCGTAGGAGGAGGAGAAGGAAAGACGGTCGACAACACAACCACGCGCAACAAGATGGGAGAAGTGAGGCTTCGGCACCCGGTGTTGAAGCAGGCGTCATCACGGCCAATGGACGCATCGCAGATCACGTGATAGAGCTCTATTCTCGTTCATGATTGGCCCGATGAGCTACCCTGCATCTTTGAAAGAGCTTCGGAGTGCAGACTAGTGCTCCGTGTGCTTGAACGACAACTTCGACTAACAAAGGCATTGTCCGAAGTTCTCCCAGTTGAGTGGGACTTCGGGTCTTGCTCAAGTTGCACCTATTCGCTTGGCCTTATCTGTTGGCATTAGCAGTTGAGCGTGCTCCGCATGATTCTAACTGTGTACTTTTGCCTATCAGAATGCAGAATCCTGACTACTATTCCACCATTTCAGTCTGCAATGCACAGAGTACTTGCTCGAAACCTACTAACCTTAGAACTGTTCAAGAATATCTACCGAGGTGCCTATTCATGGCTCCAGCAGTTGAAATACCCTGTCCGTAGCGCAGAAGCATCGCCTGTAGGTTAGTACCTCTTTGCATATCAGGTACAAGTACTTCGCTAGAACGTGCCTAGCGGGTCGCTTTGAATGCGCAGTGGCTCCCCCGAGCCCCCCCATAGTGGCGCGCTGCATTGGCTCAACTGTCTTCCGGGTATGTCAAATCCCCTGTAGGCGGTGCGCCGGTGCCAACAGCACGCCGCCAAACAGGTACGGAGCACTCAATACCACCTGTATCCCTTAGTACGTCTGCACGGCGACCTCTTCTCATTCCCCAGCTGCCTCAAGCAGGTTATCGGATACAACAGCAAAGCCGCCTTACTGACCACAAGGTAGGTCGGTCGGCCGTCAACCAGCCTCTGCCGATCTAGCTGCGAGGCTCTGTCTATACATATTGCTGGTTGTCCATCGCGAAGCGTCTGCTCTGTTGCATCTCAACGGCTACCCGGGGCTCAAACCGCGACCGCCATCATCTCTCTCGCCGCAAGCAAATCTTGCGCCCGCTCCCCTGATGCCACCTTCTTGACACGACGCAGCGTCTTTTCTTCCTCATCTCAAGGTTACGAAATAGCGACATCGATAGAGGCGTTGCATATTTACTTATCCCGGCCCGGTATCTGCAAACCTTGGAAAGGGAGACGAGCGCTCCACCACCTGCTCCCCTTTCTGGCACGGCCGAGAATTCATTTCCAAGGACAACGCTTGAGTCTAGGCTTGGGGCATCCAACATTCTCTACACTGCTTCACGGTGAGACGCGAGGCAACGCTGCTGGCTGGGATTGGAGGAATTCTGACCGCCCGGCAGCTGGTTTGACGCTTGACGCCCATCTTCGTTTGTCTCCCCTCGCCTTGGCCTCCCGAGTGCGTACCATCTGACTGATTTCGTCCCTCTTCTTGCAGCGCAGCGAACATGGCCGACTATCAATATAACTCACGGGCTCCTGCCCAACGTCAGCGGGGGTATCCCGACCAGAACGGGAATTACCAACGAGATGCCGCGTTCTCAAACATCTTTGGCGCTGCCCCCCCTCCTGGGAGGTCCCAGACCATGACATCGTCCTCCGTCCCGCCAATGATTGACCAAGGCAGGACACATACAATGTCGTCTGCCTCTGGTATGCGCCAACCGCCTCCTCGCCCCAGCCAGGGATATTATGACGACCGTGGGCAGCCACCACCAAGGCCTCGACCCGGCGATAATCATATGGCAAACGGCCATTATCCGGGTCAACGCTCTGCTTCTGGTGGACCCCAAGTTCTCTCATCCCAGGCACAATACTTGCAACAGCAACAGCAGCAGGCAAGGCGCCCGTACCCGGGGCCCCCAGGCGCTGCGCCTCCACGGTTTGATTCTCGTGGCCCGCCGTTGCCATCTGGAGGTCCCAGGGCTCCAGTTCAGAGACCTTATCCAGGAGGACAAGGCCCTGCATTGAACAGTGACCCATACCGATCACAGTCTTTGGCTTCCATGCCTCGCCCACAGATGTACCCCCCCGCGCAGAATTCTTACCAGCAATCGTCCGCGAATCATTTTCGACAAGCACCCTATACGCAGCATGCTGCCCAATCCAGAACGACTGCTCAGGGCAGAGTGGTACCAGATCGTCATGAGGATCGCTCAATGTCCTTGACTGGGGTTTATCATCCTCAAGATCGCGATGGCCAACAAACTATGAGTGGGCGAGTTATTCCCAATCGGCGGGCACCAGCTGAGCTCACCTCAGGGGCTGGATATCCAGTTCAAAATACTGGCTATCCCCCTATGCCAGGTACTCAGACGCGGACGGCAAGCATGGCCTCTTCGACCAGCGGTGCGGATCATGGAAGAACTTTCTCTATGGCCTCGGTGGCTTCAACGATAGCTCCATCCGAGTCTGACTCGGCCACGCTTGTGCATAGACCATCGCGGAGCAAGTCAATTGAGAGCGAACGTCCGACGACTGCTACAACGAAAATCCGCCCCCCGCTTGTATACCCAGCTCTGCTTTCAAGAGTGGCTGAGTGCTTTCGGCAGAAGATTATTGTGGGCGACAGGACGAAGAACGAGCTCACGTATAAGAACGCCTTCAGTGGCTCAGAGGCAGTTGATGTGCTATCCTACATCATCAGGACCACCGATCGAAATTTGGCTTTACTGCTTGGTCGGTCCCTGGATGCGCAGAAGTTCTTTCACGATGTCACTTATGAGCATCGGTTGCGTGACTCACAATCAGAAATGTATCAATTCCGAGAAACTCTGATGGACGAGCCCGAAGGAAAAAATCCTGTCGATGGTGTCTTCGTTTTGCTCTCAGAGTGTTACTCGCCTACCTGCACGAGAGACCAACTCTGCTATTCCATTGCCTGCCCTAGAAGACTAGAGCAGGTTTCCAGACTAAACCTGAAGGTTAACCCTGGTGGGCTGCGCAAGGAAGATTCGGCGAATGTCAATGACGACGAAGTCGACCAAACTGATGAGCAGAAGCTGTGGATCAATTCGGTGCCTAAAGAAGTCGCTGATGCGGTGAGCGAGCGAGAAAAGAAGAGGCAAGAGGTTATATCCGAAATATGCTACACCGAACGAGATTTCGTCAAGGACCTCGAGTATCTCCGCGATTTCTGGATTATTCCTCTGCGGTCAAAAGCCTCACCCATTCCCTTGCAACGCCGGGAGAAAGTTGTCAAGAATATTTTCAGTAACATCATCGACCATCCAAGCGTCCACAATGTTAGCTCGCGATTCGCAAGCTCTTTGACGACTCGACAGCAAAAAGACCCCATTGTGCAAAACATTGGTGATATTTTCTTGGAATTCGTGCCTCAATTCGAGCCCTTCATCTACTACGGCTCTAAACAGCTGGAGGCCAAGTTCGAATTTGAAAATGAGCGATCAGTCAACCCTTTCTTTAGTAAACTAGTTGACGAAATCGAGCGGCGAAAGGAGTCACGAAAATTGGAGCTCAACGGCTACCTTACCAAACCGACTACGCGTTTGGCCAGATACCCTCTACTACTGGAAAATGTATTGAAATACACGGAAGATGGTAACCCAGATAAAGAAGACATTCCAAAGGTCCTTACCATTATCCGAGATCTTCTCGGAAGAGTAAACGCGGAGTCTGGTAAAGCTGAGAACCGGTTCAACCTCAGGAGACTTCAAGAGCAGCTTCGATTCCGACCCAACGAACGGGTCGATCTGAAACTGACTGAAGATGGTCGCGAGCTTGTGTTCAAGAGCCAGTTCAAGAAATCACCAACGGATCCTGCCGAGCTAACAGCCTTCCTATTTGACCATGCTGTCCTACTTGTCCGTATAAAGCAGACTGGCAAGGCGGAGGAAGTTAAGGCCTATAGACGACCAATTCCACTAGAACTGCTTGCAATTCGAGAGATGGAGGAAGTCATCCCGTCTGACGGCACCGTCAAGCGCACATCTTCTAGCATCATACCAGTCATACGAACCAATGCGTCTGAAGCTAAAAAAGGAGATGGCTGGCCAATTACCTTTAGGCATCTTGGCAAAGCTGGATATGAGCTTACCGTCTATGCCTCGAACCAGGCAGCACGTAAGAAGTGGCTGGAGTACATTGACGCCGCACAACAGCGCCTCCGGGCTCGTGCGGATTTCTTCACTACCAACATCATCTCAAGCAACTTCTTTGTTGGAACAAACCAGGTCAACTGTGTCTCGCCATTTGGTAAGTCTCTAATGCGTCGTACACGCGATGGCTCTCGCTCCCCACCCCCTCCCTGTTTCACTCTTGGTAGTCTGAGTCTAACGCATATCCAGACGGTGGTCGCAAACTTCTTTACGGTACCGACAATGGCGTCTACATCTCAGACCGCAAGAACAAGGATGCGGTGCCCCGACGCGTTCTTGAAACAACTAGCGTTACACAAATTGATATTCTTGAAGAATATCAGCTTCTTCTCGTACTCTCCAACAAGACATTACAGTCATATTCACTGTCTGCTCTGACGTCGGACGATCCTGCTCTGGCCAAGAGACCTAAGAAGATTCAGAACCACTGTAGTTTCTTCAAAACCGGCATCTGCATGGGACGGCATCTGGTCTGCTGTGTCAAATCGTCAACCCTTTCTACCACGATCAAGGTGTTTGAGCCTAACGATGCCATGACGAAGGGCAAGAAGCAGAAGGGTCTCGGAAAACTCATGGGTGGTGGCTTTGATGAGCTGAGACCCTTCAAGGAGTTTTATATCCCGACGGAATCGTCATCAGTTCACTTCCTGAAGTCAAAGCTTTGCGTGGCTTGTGCCAGGGGCTTTGAAGTTGTCTCTCTGGAGACTCTTGAGACACAGTCGCTTCTTGATCAAGCGGATACCTCATTGGACTTTGTGGCCCGCAAGGAAGGAGCGAAACCTATTCACATCGAACGCCTCAACGGAGAATTCTTACTTAACTATTCCGAATTCTCCTTCTTCGTTAACCGTAACGGATGGAGGGCTCGACCGGAATGGCGAATCGACTGGGAAGGCTCTCCTCAGAGCTTTGCGCTCAGCTATCCTTGGATTCTTGCGTTTGAACCCAACTTCATTGAGCTGCGCAACATTGAGAATGGTGCCGTACACATTGTACCGCATAAGAACATTAGAATGCTCCATAGCAGCACTCACGAGGTACGTTTCTGTGGCTTAAGCACACACCCATTTACTGTGTTACTAACTTATTACACCAGATTTTATTCGCCTATGAAGATGAACGGGGAGAGGATGTGGTGGAATCCATCGATTTCTGGCAAAGCAACAGACGATCAGATGTCTTTGGTCTGCAGCCATCACAACCTGCCCACCCGCGATAGGAGACGCGACAGTGGTCGCGATAGTGGTGGCGTTTGTTCTACGACATATTAGAACTCTTAATTTCCAGGAAATCTTCTTGTATCCCTTGGAAGCGCAAAGGTATTGTGGCTCAACTCTGAGGGCAATATGTTTGAGCAAACTATTGTTTTCGACCTACTTCTCTTCTCTCTCCCCGATTACATACACCGTATAAAGCGCTGCGACTCTAGCTGGGTTGGGACAGGGGTAACTTCTTTACATAGGCGCAGGAGAATTAAGAGACATCCTTTCAATCATCACAAAGCGTCTCACAGAGGGTTGTCTCATATTTTTCTGCAGTTTTTCTTTCTAATTTCCATTGAATGTTTGGGTTCCTTTTTCCTTTTTTTTTTTTTTTTAAAGTTTGTAAGTGGGTGGTGATGGAGGAAGGCGACCGGTGAGTAAACATGCTCATGGCCGTTTGAGATATGAAGGTGAAGCTGTGGCATTGAAGTAGAGGAAAGATATGTATGTAGTCATGGACAAGGGATTTTTTTGTAACTTTTGGAGGATGCGTTATTAAGCTTGAGGAGCTGTAGCGGCGGATTCTTTTGGGGCAGAGGTTTTATAATTGGAGGTGGACTGATTCACGTGCATATTTATATTTTATAGTAGATGAGGCAGCCCGCAGCATTTGGCATTGATGTTTGTTCAAGATTTCACTACGTTGACTTGCAGCTCCTGTCCCTATTTTCGATGAGTGCAGTTCAGATGGAGTTGCAAGAATCCTTGGATCTGCTCAGTGTTTGTTTCTCAAGACTATGTCTGGTTGGTACTGCCTAGGTACGATATACCTTTGTTAGGCGACTTGAGTCTGTGACTTTCCTTGTTTATTGGTGAGTCTTGAGTGTTATTTTGGAACATGGCAATTATTTCGGCATTGTTCCTGGGTATGGGCCTCGTATCCCCAAGGTTTGGTTCGGCCGATCGGATCTGACGTAGACAAGTTAGACTAGGATACGCCTCCTGGTTATTTGGCCCAGGGGTTGGGAGAGGGG